GGTGGAGACACTGCGCTCCCCTCCGCTCTGGTGGTGGACGGTCAGCTCGTGAAGCTGAGAGCTGCTGTGAAACTTGACCCGGATTCGGATTCCGTATTTGTCATACTCTTCCTGCGGAGTGTCCATCATGGCCAGAAAAACAGGAACAGAGTGTTAAATGACGTGACTTTAAACAGAATTTCAACTTTTAAAATCATAAATCGCACTCACCTCATTCTCTGTGTAAAGATCCACCTCTCCTGCACACTGCATGGAGCGAAAGAAGTCACTGAATTTCTCATTGATCTGTTCAACCAGCTGCTTCAGAGGGTTGAGCCAACGGTCTTTGGCCTGGGACACAAACACAATCAGTGAACACCTTAGAGACGTCCAGTTTTTTTGTTTGCTTTTTTCAACACAATAAACCATGTTCTCATCGTCGTGTAAGTCACAAACCTCTGCTATGTTCTGCCTGTAGGCCGTGAGGCTGTTGGTCTTTTCTTCCAGTTCCTTCTCCAGATGTCGAATCTCCTCTTCTCTTCTTCTGTACTCATCAACGACCTTCACAGCAGAGACATCAGTAGTATAAACACACCAGTATTGTCTGATACCACTCTATTAAAGCAGGTTTCACATGGTATTCTATGACTTTTGAACATTGATTGGTTCCTTCAAATTCTACTACCAAATCATTTCAGGGTCATGGGAGAAGGTGTGGCCAATACCAGCAGTCATTGGGGAAAGCTCCACTGAGGTCCATCACAGGACCATATGGAGACTATTCACTATTCACACTTATATTTTCCCTCTGGTCGAGTCAACAAGTGACCTAACCCAGCATGTTTTTGGATGGAATAACCCAGAGAAATCAGTGTTTTTCAACCTTTGGGTTATTTTCAACAACCAAAAAAAGGTTGAGAACCACTGTCATACAGAGAGCACAGGATTTGAAGGAAGAAACACCAAGAACTTTCCACTGTGTGGCCCACATTTTCTAAAGTACTGGCATCTCGAGCAGCAAGACTAATGAGTTCACTCTTAGCCAGTAATTAATTTGTAACATTTTGATACTGTTGTCATAAACACATTAGGTCATTGTAACAAATGCAGCCAACAGCTTACACTTTCACTGAGGCCGGTGAAACACTCGGACCTGGAGCGCTCCTCGTTCAGCCTGGCATCTATCTCGTCCAGCGTGTCAGGCAGTTTGCTGAAAGCCTGAATCAAGTGACAAGAGTCACAATGTTTTTGTTTTCATTTCACGATTTACAGAATGTGCCAGTGTCAAGGATAAGATCATCAAAGGTCTAACATTACGCAGTTCTTCAGGCAAGACCTGGTCAGAATGCATCCCACAGACAGACTTTGCTCTCTTCAGCAGGGCTTTGCATTGTTCCGTCAGCCGGCTCTTCCGCTCCTCCAGCTGGATGTACCTTTGCTGTAAAGAGATGATGGTACTTGATCAGACAGACGCTCATTTTGTCAACAAGGATTGGTGTTCTGTCAGATTTTAGTTGTAAAGAACAGAGCTTTGTACAAGAAAAAAAAACCTGAAAAAAAAAATCCATCCTGATTGGACCAGAGGTTTTTCTTTTGACTATACCCTCAATACATTCAATCATTGTAATTTATTTAATTTTCATTTAAAAAACTGGTTGTTGATTTAGTCTTCAACAAACAGACTCAAATTCACACTGGTGACAACACCTACATTGACGGTTTTTAGTTCGGAGGTTCCTTCTCTAAAGTCATTCTCCAGCTTTCTCTTCTCCGCCGTCTGTCCCACTGTGTCCAACGTGAGGTACACCTTCTCCACTGTCAACTTGGCTCTAAGCTACAGGTGTTCAGGAAAATATTAAAAACACGGGAATACAAAAGCAAACAGTTTTAGAAAAATGCATAAAAATAAAAGTTGTAAGAACAAAATGTAGAATCCTAACTGTGCACAAAGAAACTGAGCAAAATGCAAACTTTCAGTGTTTCAAACACAGGATCCCCAGTGATCACTCCGTACCTTCATTTGGGCCATGAACTCAGCCACCACTGAAACCTTCTGAGAATTAACATTTGCAATCTTCTCCCTTGTCTCCTCTTCAATCTTTGCCAGGTCGATCACATTTTGCTCCATCTGCCTCACACTAACACACGAGGAGAAAAAGAAAATTCTTTTAATAATAATAAACCCAGAGGTGACGACAGCATTTCCTATATTCAATGGACAATTCATGTCAATAACATTAATGTATTTTTATACTATATTCATAGCTAGTCAACCCATGTTTATAGCCCCCCCTGCAGGGATGGAAGGAGCTAAGAGTTTTCCTTAAAATTTGCACATTTTTGCATGCACACTTTTGAAGCTGTCAGTCACAACCAATCATGACACTGCAGTGCAGATCTACCTGTCCTGTTTGATGCTGATTTTCTGCTCCAGTTGTCTCTTTTTGCCCTTCAGTTCAGACAGACGTTTCTTTTCTGCCAGTAATTCATTATCCCGACGATCCAGGCTGACAGCTTCAGCTTGAAAGTTCTTCATTCTTTCATTGTTTTCTTGCAGCTTCTCTTTGGATGCCTGATCACAGAAAGTATCTTAACATCATCGTCTTTCATTTCAGTTTATGTAAGAAAATTTAAAAAAAAAATCACTGGAGTTCAGATGTGAGAGCTGTGGGACTAGTCCCCGCGTCTCACCTTTATCTGCTCCTCCAGGCGTCGTTTCTCGTCGGCGTCAACAGTGATGGTTAAGAACTGAGATTCCTGCACTAAGGAGTTGCTGGTGCTGATGTTGTGGGAGTACGAAGACCTCTTCACCATGTACCTTTCCCCTGGTGTGTAAAACATTCTGAGGTAAGGCTCCTCGATTACCTGCAAGAAATAAGCAAGCAGAAATATTCATGTCAAACCAAGCAGTAAATGGTGTAACAGCTGTAGATACATTTGGAAAAGGAATCCTGTCTAAAACATGTCATTGTCCTGGTCTGTGTCTCCTATAGTCAGTTTTATATAAAATTATTCCAAACACACTGGTCTGTTCTGGTATTGTACCGTCGATGGTCAGAGAATCGTACCGTATGTATCATGTCTTTGGTTTGCTGTGAGCCTAATGGAACTTCGTGTACTTTGTACTGGTAACAGAGGTAACTCATCACTTCTTCAGGAGTGTCAAACATCTCACGCAGGTAGATGTGGAAGCCAAAACGTCTGCAAATTTAAAAAAACAAAAGTGTGTGCATTATTGTAATATAATATAATAACTCCTCACAGTAAGATTTAAAATAGGACTTAACTCTCCCTTACCTCAAGGACTCAATATGTCTGGATGGCTGTTGTTCAGAAAACGATTTCTCTGGAGTAGAAATTGCATTTACCCTCAAGTTCATTTTATCACGAACCTGAGAAACAAGTCCAAGAAACATTCATTTCAAGGGGAGGCGGGAAGATGATCCTAAATAATATTCCATTTCAGTATAGGGTTCCAACTCTGTTGTTAAAAACATTTTCCAGGACATATTCAGCCGCTGATTTTTTTTATTTATGATTTTTTTTTTTTTTAATATTTTTTCCACTGAACTGAAAAATGGGTTAAACATTTTCCAGGTAATCCAAGAATAGGAAACCCTGAAACTACAACATCTCAGTCAAACTACCATACCTCAGTCATGAACTTCTCCATATCTGCCTTCTTCTGGAAGACAAACGCCCGTAGATCATGGAATGGAATGTGATTTTCCACGTACTTGGCAAACCGGTGATCTTTTACATTTATCTGTAAATACATGACAGTAACATTGTAGTAAAAGAAGGCAGCTGAACTACTTTCATGTGGTGAACTGTAACTCACCACCAGCATCATGGGCTCATAGACATTTCCTTCAAACATTTGTCTGTTCTTCCTGAGCCACTGAAGTGCAACGTAAGTGTCTTTATGCCGTCCTTTCAGCTTTTCCTCTTTGGCATTCATCATGTTGTTCATGCAGTTGAGCTTTTTCTCCAACACTAAAACAAAAAAAAAACTAAATCAAACCCAGAGCAGCATTATATTTCAATACAGTGCATACAGGTTAGATACAAAGTTAATTTATGGGCAGGGCACCAAACACTCACTGGCAGACTCTGCACAGAGGTTGTCCTTCTCCCTGCGAAGGTCGGCCTTCTCTCCTTCGATCCTCGCTCGGTCCTGCTGCATCTGTCTCAGCTCCACATTGATGGCGTTGATCTGTGGAGTCACATCAGGCTGATCACCAGTTTTAGCAAGCTCTGCCTTTAGGTCTTCAATGTTCCGCCTGGTGTTGCCGATTCGCTTTTGTTGGTCTTCAGCCTCTGTTTGCTTGAGTTTCAGAGACTGTTTAATATCGTCAATCTGCAGAAGAAGAAAAAAGATGAAAACTTACAGCTGCAAACTAGAGGTTCACTTTCTGATTAAAGACCAAAAACATTCATAACAAGAATGTCATCACACGTGACAAAAAAGTTTAATGTTACTTTTCAATGGATTCTATAATGTAGGTAAGATACATTCAGTAACAACACAATTCATGGAACATATATTTGTAATGAGTCTTCAGTGACTTTAAGTTAACAAATACAATTTTATTCAGGTTTTTTTTTTTCCACATCGATGGAGGACATAACAATTAATCCAATCATCTCTCCAAAGGCGAGATATGACATTAAAGCACAGCAAAAGTCTCTGGAAATGGATTTAGACTCCAATTGTAAAGTGATCAGAAGAACTCATTAAAATGAACTTTTTATTCTCACCTCTTTGTGTTTTCGATCCAACTGATCCTGCTTCTGTTTGCACTTGTTTGAGGCCTCTTTAATGGCAGCAGTCTGAAAAACACCATCTTTAAGTTGCAGAATACCTTTCTGTAAATACCATTTCCCGTTTTTCCATTTACAGATCGTATATTTGTTCTGCAGATGCAAAATGCACAACACTATCTGATTTTTTTCACCTTTGCTTCAAGTTGTGCTTCGGTGGAATGCAATTGGTTTTCAATCTGCTGGATCTTCCTCACCACTGGAGCTTGAACCTGCTTCAGTGTTATGAGCCGCTGCTTGACCTCGTTTCTCTCTGCTATCACATGGTCACGCTCAACTCGTGCAGTCTCATACTCCTAAAGCAGTCAGTGGAAAAGCCATGCAAGAGCTGTTTGTTGTTTTTCTAGTCAGTTGTTACAATCATTGTTTTGAGTTTTCAGCCACTCACCACCCACGGTTTCTTCTTCTCCAGCAGCTCTATCATGTCCAGATGTCTCTGCCTTTCATAGAAACGGTTCACATCCAGCTTGTTTCTCTCGTTCCTCTGTTTGGCCTTCTCTAAGAAGCTGTTTTTTTCTTTCACAGCATTCTGAAGAAGAATAACAATAATAAGAATAACCAATGACTATGACTGCAGGCTAAAGTGTTGAACTCCCTGAGACAAAACTGCCAACACAATGGACCCAGTTTGGTCACCAACAAAATGAGTAGCAGGAAATGGTAAAAAAAACAACAACAAAAAACAACAACAAAAAAAAAAACAGGTAATGTGTTATTATAAGAATCCTACTTGTTTTTATTGTTTTAACATCAAGTCATTTTCTCTTGACATCAGATCCTGATAGTGTTAGTTTTTTTTTCAAATTCCATATTGCTTTCCCAGGACAGCTATAAAATTAGAAGAGTTATTCTGTGTGTTTTCCAACACCCGTTGGCTTTACAATATCAAATATGGAGCTATGTGAAATGACAGTAAACATCAAAAAGACATTAGTCCATCTTTGGATTTTACCAAAATCAACATTGTGGGCATCACTTAATGTGATTCAATAAAGGCCATTTGAAAAAAAAAAACATCTTTCTCCCTGTGATTTTATTGTATGATTCTAAGTTAAAAAAAAGCAGATCTGTACACTTTCATTGTTAAGCTTTTGCTTTACCTCGAGTTCCCGTTCCTTCCCACGGAAGTTTTTTAGTTTGCAGTGGTACTCGTACATCTCTGGTGGTCCCACTGACTTCTCTGTTGCTTCCAACAACTCTATTTTGGACATTTTGGCAAACTCCCCCACTTTCTCCTATATGAAAAAGGAAATAGGGTTTATTTTAGAAGTTACCATTGACTTCAATGATTTTACAAATGTGGAACATATACTGTTTTTTTCATATAATACCTGAGGCAGAAACTGGCAGAGATTGCTGACTTGGATCTGCAGAGTTCTGACTTCCTCTTCCACATCTTTCTGGCTACAGTGTCTTTTGTTCAGCATCCAAACAGAGCGGTTGTTCTCCACATGGATCTCTCTGTGAATCACTACGTTACCATCTTTCTTGTACCTAAAGTGACAGAAACCAGTGTCATTCCCCAGGCCTCGAGTCATTATGGTGAAGAAATGTTAAAATAAATGTAATTACATTTTAGAAACTCACAATTCAATTTCAATGAATCCTTTCTTGCATCCACGTTTGACGTAAAGCCCAACCTACAGGAGAAAAACAACCCAAATGATTTAAAGGGAGAATCCAATATCAATAAAGATTGTATATTAATTAGACTGGAATAAACTGTTGCACAGAAGCAACATAAGCCATAATGATTAGAGTTAGAACCAATGGACACAGAGTTGTTTTACTGTGACAGTAGTCCTGTTGAAAAGATACGAGTACAAACTGTTTCGTTAAACAAAGTTTACTCTGTGACCTTCAAAAAGTAGACAAAAGCCAGATTTGTTTTTCTTTTTGCAACTACTTTGGCTTCTTCCACTGTGCTTCTATTGGTCTTTGTTGAATTGTTTTTTTCCATGTTCATTTTCAGTCCGTAGCTTTACCTTGTCTCCTCTGCCCAGAACAGAAGTCTTGCCAGCAAGACCAAGACATATGGCACAGACAATACTGGACTTGCCAGTTCCGTTGGCTCCAACAATCATGTTCAGGTTAGTACCAGGATTCACTACAGAGTAGTCGTAGGTTCTGTCAAGGAACAAAAGGTAATTGAGACTTCAAGGCTAATAAATTTTATAGAAAAAACAGCCCTTATTTTGTGTATTTGTTGTTGACGTTTGGGTGGCGTTGCTGTGGTGTGCTTTTAATAACAGGTGTTTTTGTCTATCGTCCCATGTTAACAGCACCAAAACACGGAATTAGCCATGTATTTCTAGTGCTTTACAAGTGTTATGTATTGATGTACTTATATGACATAGATGACAAGTTCATTTTTTTGTTTAGAAAAACGCCCCCTTTCTCTTTACCGGAATAAGATAAGTTTCAGTTTTGCTGCTGTTGTAGTCGAATGATAGTATCGCTAACTTACAAGAAGTTTTTCATGGTGATGGAAATAATAGAACCGTCCACAAAGCGCTCGTCTCCTTCGCTCTGACTGTGGTTTGACGTTTTGTGGCTGCTCTTGACATGACTGAGACGCTGTCGTTTCTTCGGCTCCGCCATACCTGAAGAAAACAACGAAACAAGGTCTGCATGAAAACCAAAGACAACCTCAATCCGGCTCGCGCGCTTGGCCCAACTGAAGCCGAGTTATGGTTGGACAAAGCGTATCACGTGTTCAAAGGGAGCAGTGACGTAACGGTCGAACGTGTTGTTCTTTATCGCGAGAATAATGCACTGCTTCGTAATGGATGTACACGCAGAACGTACACTCGCAAACGCCACACGGTGGAGTAGTGGTGTCGCTGCTGAGGAATCATTTGGACTTTTTTTGTGTTTGAAGACTGCTGCAAATCAAAATATTAAAATGAAGATACATTATTTTTTCAGCACTTTTTTAATCTCACAAAATATTTGATACTATTTACTAAATATGTTTTTTAAATCTATTTGAATACAAACAAAAACATGTTCAAACACAACACAGACAGATTCATTTATTAAAGACTCACTAACATTTATTTATCCTATATTGGTGTGAATATTTCATATACATGCATTTTGTTTGCTTGGGATTCTGAAACTATAGTAACAATAATAACAATAATAATAATAATACATTGACAATAATATTTTTTTCAAAAAGAAATAATGGTATCAATACAATAAATACAACAATTCAATACACAGTAACAAAAAAATCAGTATCCTAGATAAATCAAGATGTGTTATAATAGTTAAACGAATGGTATTTATATTTTTTTTAAAAAAGGAAGGACTTGATGTAAAGGTAAGGGAGATTAACAAACAGAACTAAGAAGGATTCCTATTAGTTCACTCTTGATCTTGGTAAATGACATAGATAAAGAAGCTTGGCACCAAGAAACGCACAGTCACGTCTCATAACATGCTGTGGTCAGAACAGACCTCCTCCATCCTTAGGTCACTAATGTTTTTAATCTATAATCTTGTTGTGCAGTGTTTGTGCCACGTTGGGTCAGCTTTTGTATGTTAAGTAACACACACACTATTTAGGTCAGCATATATAATCCAATCATTCTTCCAAATATACTGTAACCTGTTGGCTAACTGGTCCTTTAAAAAAAAACCTTGTTTATCTGTCATACGATCCGTGCAATCACAGTGAACTTTAGCGAAGACGTAAAGACAAAAATCAAATATTCAGACTAGAAACTCCCAAGGAAACATTAAATGGCCATCACAGATGTTAGCCTCTAGTCATTACATCTTTTCAAAAATTAGAATTTTGTTTTTGTAACTGCTATATCTACATTTATTACCTAAGTTGCTTATATTTATTTGGCTATTTTTATCTTACATTGTACATTGTACAGAATTGGTTGAATGGTACTTTGGTACTTGAGTGTTTTCTACATTTCTTCTATCACACACCGAGGGGTCTGGCACAAGGACACATTGACATGTAAATTAAAAGTGCCTGGGAACAAATCACCTGGAACTTACAGCAGAAAGATTGGTTGATTTTTTTTTACAATTAGCAGCTAAATATACCTGTGTAATACTTGAACCCCACAGGGTCATTATGTAGCAGACTTATGATTTACCACAGGTACGTGGTGTACTCAGGTACATCATGAGCTTATCTCTGAAAATACTCATCTCCATTACTGGCTTTGTGTGTGAGCCCTGCCTGCAGGTGTATATAAGCTCAGCCGACTGCAGCAGAGAACAGAGAACAGAGAGACTGCAAGAAGAAAGAGAACTTCCTCTTTGTTTTGCATTCCTTTCTTTGGTCAACAGCTCCACTTTCTTTTTCCAAGCTCCCTCCAAACCAACCAACAGGTGAGTCTCTCACAACGATCAGATTATTTTACCCTGCTAATGGAGGGGCAGGAGGGAAATAGCCGCAGCTGCTAAGAATTCTTAACTGTACTTACAGGTTAACCTTTAAGGATAAAAGATTTATTTTCATAAATTGACCTCAGGTAGGGTGGGAACTGAGTTTATGATGACTATGTATTGTGATGTTTTATATAGTTGTTTCTTCAGTGATATGACAAGGTAATAATGATACATTTGATTACCATATTTTAATAGAATTGTGTAAAATAATGTTTTCCTTGAGTAATATCAATTACTGTGTTCCAATAGAGGTGTCTTTTATTTTTTGTAACAGCTGCTAAGAGAAACTGACTCAAGGGGAAATTGCTCAATTTATTAACTTTTATTAAATTAAATTAATTATCTGACAACTTCATATAAAAGATGACAAAATTACTGATTTGTCATTTTTGTTTGCCAGACCTGTAGCCAAATTTTATAGCTTGCTGCAGCCATGATAAAACGATAATCTGAGATTACCTTCAGTCGTCACCTTGTCTGAAAATGTCAATCCTCTTATTCCAAGGACATGGAGACGTATTCCCTTGGTCTATTCCATAATTCATTTGGACTAATGGTAAACAATAGCAATATAACAGGCATATTATTGTTGTTTATTTTACCATTGTCTTGCTCTCTAAGGGACACAAAGCTATTAAAGGGGGCACCGAGCCAAATACATTTGAATATATTCTTTAATTTAAAGAGAATAATACATTTTTGAATTAAAAAAATTAGTTTGTTCTCTTAAATCAGCAGTTTTATAGAGAATGAAAACAGTTGCTTTAAAGGTGGTACGTGTGCCACAATAATCCTATCGTAAAAAGGGGGCGCTGCTGAAAAATGTTATGGAATTCAAATGGAGTTAAATGGAATGTTGTTGCATGTAATCTATAGATCCTTTACATAAGACACGTCTCGGGATAACTTTGTGATTTTACACTGTGAAACAAGCTCATGCTGTAGTCCTCACACAGTCCACTCTGACAGGGGGTCGTGTATAATTAGAAGATCTTAAGCTGTTCACCGATATAACTCACACGAGAGAAATCATCTCATTATTGCTAATAACCAGAGCAAAAATTATGACTTAAGATAATTAGCGTAAATGGACAGATTATAGTTATGTCAGTATAGTATTAGAAGTTACAGTGCTTTATGCTAACAACATTATCTTTTCATACAGACATGAACGCAGCAGTGGCAGCACCTGGAGGCAACAAGGCCGCTCCTCCCAAGTTCAAGCAAAAGGAGACCAGGCAGTTCAAGAGCAAGGCTCCCAAAGCTGGACAGAAGGGGTGAGCTAAGAACACAAATATTAAAAAAAAGTAATTGACTCTGCATGTTTGTTCAATCCAAACATTCTTCTGTTTTACTAGATTTGATGACGTTCCAGGGATGGACGGCCTGGGAGGTAATTATTCATCCAGGCACAAACTGAAAGATTTAACAATGATTTAGTTTAATGCATCAGGATTGAATTTTTTCTTTCCACGCCTTCTGCAGGTGCAGAGGTCGTCTGTCCATGGGAGGCATTTGGAGACATGGAGCTGAGTGACCTGGCCCAGTTTGGCATTGTTTAGCAACTTGTGCCATGTGAGAACAGTTCGTTCCTGGTGGCTCCAATCCAGCAGCTTCTAAAACCCTCCTCAAGATTTTCTCCACCATTTTTGGAAGTGAGAAACGGGCTTGATAAGACCACCCACACTGACTGGAACGGCCCTTCGCTGTATCTAACACCTGAGAAGCTGTGGAGGGACAAGCTCTTGGACAGCAGCCCCCATGAATGACTCTTTTCCCATCCTGGGCTGCTGCTCTACATCTGAAAGCTTTAGTGATGTCCCTGATTTCACACAGACACTGTTGTGGACTCATTATCCTGTACAGCCCGACACCTGTGTAATAGTGTTATACACTGTACCTTTGTTTGGGATCTACTCCAGGGATGATCGGGAATCAACATGTATTTACTAAAATGTCAGATTAGATCAAATCATATCAAATATATTGTATGTTATCAATATATTGTTCTATTGCCATTTACTGTTCTGTCAATCTCTGTCCAAATTATTTATCCAACAATAAAAGTTTTGTTAGTTTTTCTGTATCATTCTTTCCCCAATTAAAAAACAAAAAAAACAGTAACAGAGTAAATTTACACAATACCTAAAAGCAATGAAAAGCCCTTTTTTTTAAAAAAAGGGCTGAGGGTTCAATCACCTTAGGCCTCTCCCTTCAGAGGTTACAACAGAAACAATGCAATGAAAACCTGAGATTTCCACTTAAACCTTTACTGGGGGCAGGTGAGATAGTAAAAATATACACAGTACACGAAGTGCACAATTTTATGTATTTTATGTAACTAGTTACTAAAGTTTTTTTCTGTAATACTTATTGGCCAACTAGGAGTTTTTTTCTGTAATACTTATTGGCCAAAAAAAAAAACTATAATCTGGTCTTAAGTCAACCTATTAAAAAGGCACGATCTATTTGATCTTAGGATGGGTGAATTTTGGCCCAAAGTGCTACACATGCATGATCTGTAAAGCAATGAGCCCGACTGTAAGAGAAACGATGGACACAACTCATTTTATTCGTTACAAAGAAATCCTTTATTTCTTCGTCTCGAGACGAAAAAATGGCAACAGAAATGACTGCCGCTGATAATGTTTGACCACTTGGTGGCACCAAGAACAAGTAAGGCAACAGCGTACAACTTAACGCACGTTTGTTGTTTAAGCTCAAAGAAAGAAGAAAAGTGCAACTATAAAATCATTTACACAGGAGTCGACCATTTATCAACATCAATAATGATGTATTTTTTAAAATAGAAAAACACAGGTAAAATACAAACACAAAGGAAAAATATACAAAGAAAAATGGCAGCACACTTCCTCGCCGTTGCCCGTTTGTTGTGGTGAGATCAGAATCGCCTCTATACTCATTGTCCACTGCGCAGCCTGAGACGAAGCTCGTGCTAACAGAGAACTAGTATATCTGATCAATTCATCACTTCTTACCACAACATAAAGCAGTGGAAAGCTCTGGAAGAAACGTGCCTGCTGCTCATCACCGGAGGCTCGAGGGCTAGTTTCCTATCATCTCCGCACTGAACAGAGCCCGACTCAGAGCGGATCAAATAAGATCACTGTGTAGGTTTTTTTAAAAAGATAAATATTCACACGCATTCATTCACAAACACTCACACGTTCAACCATACGTTCAACCACACTCCTTTCACGGATACTCACACCAAACACACGTCTTTCACACTGTGTAGGAAACACTTCCGGGGCGACTTTTAAATCAAAAAGCCGCAAGGAATCATGGGAATCTAAAGGCAAAACTATAGCGGCCCCGTGTGGTCAAATGCAAAATACAGTTACGTAACGTCAGTTGTACAAAATGATAACGAACCAAAAGGTTAAATCAACTGAGAAAACAAACAACACAGTTACTTAGTTTTTCTCAATGTAAACCCCAAGTCTATTTTCTCTACAGAGGCCACTGTGTTTTTTTATTATGTATTAACTGTATTAGCTATTAATATTCATCGCAACCCGGTAACAGATAAGCAGATAAAAATGGATGGATGGATATTAATATTAATAATATTATAATATAATATATAATATTAATTAAATTATATTTAAATGTAACAAGGACCTACCACGTGTTTTACTAATTGCTCAAATAAACTTGAAGTTTGAGGATGCTTAACATTAACTGTTGAATCCTATACGATCTACAGGACTAGTTGTCCATAAATGATTGTGTGTATACATTTTATTAGACTTCATGGTTGACGAACCTGTTGTTGTGTTGTGTACAGTTGCTCTTAAGCTGTGTCAGTGACAATTAACTAATCTGGTATCTGGTGATGTGATGGGGTTGTGAGGTAATCTTGAATGGTGTAATAAGATTTAGGTTTCTACTACGTCTGGTGACTACTTACAGACGACACCCACCTGCATCATACTGGACATCAATTTGAGACCCAGGCGGCAGACTGGCTACATGAGGAGCTGTGATTCTTTTTATATTTGACTACTGTTCAAGTGGCGACACTGGGCCTCCACCATGCTGCCACGGAGGGGTCAACTGCAGAAAAGTGAGTTCTTGGCAGTTGTTTCCTGAGAACCTGCAGTGCCTCAGTTTAGTGACCGTGTGTCAGATATTTAGTTGACTTTAGGTCAGGGTGTCAGTTGACCTTTGGTACGTTTACAGAGGTGGTTCAGTTACTTTGTTTTTAACTTTGTTTTTTTAAACGGACGTTTAGCTTACTCTTTATATTACTCAGTCATAATTATCTTGATTAGCACCTAGCTAAAACACTAACATACTGTTTATTCTCCTCACAATTAAGAATAATGTGTCATTTATTAATTAATGCTCACTTCATACTAAAACTGAAAATAAGTGGAGACACCCAGTACATGAATGTGTGACCCCAGACTTTATCCACCATGTACATATGACACAAACACTCAGTTAAGGCAGTGAGTCCCAAACTGAGGGGCGGGTTCCTGGGGGTGCGCATATATACCAAGGCTGGTGGAGCAAAGCAAATGATTTTTAATGTTAGTATTTGGGGGCAGGGGAGATGGTGGCTGAGAGCCCCTAATGAACTTTATAAGATTAAGTGAATGTGATGGTTGTTTGTGTATGTAGTAAGACCAGTGATCTGTGCAGGGTGTACTGTTAGGTGACTCCAGTCACCCCTCAGCTCTTGACAGCACAAGTAGTGCACCATGAATTATTGGACATCTGAAGCAGAGGGACATCAGGTAGAGCCGTCCTGCTGTAATCCAGCCCAGCCCCTCAGGCTCTGTCAGAACAATGGCTTTCATCAGCACTGACACTGGAAAGTTAGCTTTCAGCTCAGCGCTCTCGCAGCGGTGTCAGGACAGTAAAACGTACGGTCTCACACAGCACATCGTGTGTAGGAGAGTTTATAGTGGCAATATACTGCTCTCACTCTCCGCGAGGCTGGACGACAACAGCATCTGCCATCTGTTCCTGGCTTAATATTATCCTGTGACTTATCTGGTTTCAGTGGGAGTGGCAGTGTCACAGGTCTGACTGTGTTACCGCAGCAGGCTCTGCCAAAATTCAGTGCAAAAACATATATATTTACACAGGCTTTTATTGACGTAAGTCTTTATTACAGCGGGTTTTACTGACAGGTGGCAGAACCGTTTTGTTACCTTTGTCCTCATCTGAGCAGCTCACCTGTCGGAGCGCCACAGAAGAGACTTTCACTTTCATCCATTATCAAATTACACCAGTGAACAAATGATCAAAATCAAGCTGGAAGAAAACATCTTCCTATTTTCCAACACATGTGCATCAAAATAGTGAATTAATACAAATTAAAATCTGCATTTTACTCATTCTGTTTTTTTATTTAACTTAATATCCTGAATAATTTAGTTCAGTTCACAACAGTAATGTTTCAAGTGAACATCTGTAGCTCAGAGGGTTGGGAACTAGAGTCAACAGTTCTAGGTTTCATGCCAATGTGTCTTTGGGAAAGAAATGTAACCATAAGGTCCCAGCCCCAGGACCAGATAAATGGTAAGAGTATTTTCAGAATTATTTTTTTCTCAGTAGATTACTCACTCTTAAACAACACAAACAGTGATAACAACTGTTTTTTTCACCCCTCAGAGAACTCTAGTCCTCACTCTGTACTGTCACACAGCAGACGGCCGTCCAAATGAGACCCTCCAGGCCAGAAAACTGGACACACCGAGCCAAAAGACTCTGCACAGAGAGCTGCTGCTCCGCCATAAACGGTACGTGAAGCAAAGCCTTCAGCACGTTGACACTCTCATTACTTACAAAGAAGCAGGGCAGGTGGGATAACTGTGCCTGACCCTGCAGGGGACTCCTGCTGGAGGAGAAACCTGAGTTGAAGCGAGTGTTGGAGCAGCGCAGGCTGGAGTTACACAAAGAAAATGATCTGGCACAACGCCGGCCTTCAGATCTGGAGATGGAGCTGTGCAAGAGGCAACAGAAGCTGCAACAGGTCCAAATCCCTTGGAGGGATCTCGACACATTTGAATGTTTAAAGTGAGTTTGATGACGAAAGCAAATCCATTGACTCGTACTTTGTTTTTTCCAGTATGAGCAGGAGGAGATCAGGCAGCGAGAGAACCTGCAGAAGATTCCAGAGTTCGTCCGTGTCAAGGACAATCTGAGGCGTACGCAGACATTTGAGCAGTGAGCTCCAAAGGCTTTTTCATATTATAATACATTTTGGTGAATTTCTTTCCAAATGTATCCAGGGTGAACTGATTTGCAGGAGATATAATTTTTTTTTTTGGACCAAGAAAATTGTATCAGGATGTGGATCTTTTTATTTTATATAGTTTAAAAAGTTTATAGTCAACAAATGTTCTTTTATTTCCAGTGTTTTTCATGTGTAATTGAACTACTCATTTTGGGACATGAAGTTTTTCAACATAGTTCATTCTGTCAGTAGAAATCCCTCAGTCTTAGAGATTTGTGCATTTATTTATCTGTTTTTATGTTGAGTGTGTGGAAATAAAACCTTTGGATTTGCAGCCATGCTAATGTTTTGTTGGTGACAATTCAAAGCACTGGGTGCTGATTTGCATGCAGCCCTTCTCCCCGAGGACTCTCGCGGTGCTTTCACACGGATACGGGACTTTGTTTAATTAGCTGATCTTTTCATTCCATCACGGGATGAGAGGAGAAAGCTCGGGCCATCTGGATGAGGCTTTTCAGGATATATTGGCTGGAAATACCCAAGGGCCTGGTTAAGGCACTGCAGACATTCGGGTTAGTCACTGAAGCCACTGCCTGTCGGCACAGAAAAGCAGCCTGGGGCAAACACACACTCCACGGAGACAACTGTTTAAATCAAAATCAGCATTTGTGGATCCAGGGTTGACATAATAAAACTAATTTTTCACATGTGTGTGATTAAAAACCTGGCTGTTATTATGTCATAGTTTGTAGAGTTGGAATAAACATAACCAAATGTTATTAATGACACAGATTAATGACAGATTAGGCCTTTTTTGTTAATAAATCCTTTGAAAGAAGTAAGAGTCCAATCAGTTAAGTCTAACAATTCACACACAGGCTGTGGAAATCTTATTACAGACTAAAGTTAGGTTTTGAAAAAAAAAAAGAAAAAAAATGAAATAGACAATAACCCATAAATAACACTCTGGGAAACACTGTTCTACACTCACAGAAATTATCCAGAAGGAGCAGTTTACTCAGGTTTTAACTTAAATAAAATAAATAATAATAATAAATGTTAAATTTAAAATACATTTCAACCCTAAAAAATTAACATTTTACAACAAACAAATTAATTGGTAAATGTTATGAAACGTGTATGGAGAGAGTTTGTGTCTTAATGTGTCCCAAACACAACAATTCGGTGACTGTTTTTTATCATTTTGCTCGAGGGGAGATGTGTCCATCACCAAGCTGCCAGCTGTTCCGGCTCTTTTGCTTTCTTTCATTCTTTCTTTCGTTCTTTCTTTACGAACCTCTCCCTCAGGCCATTCATCTTTTGTGCTTCTTTTCTCATTAGAAGACCTCAGCGAGTCGCGTGCTGTGTCAACACCTCAGAGCGTGTCTGGAAAGTTAGCAGCGTCGGAGCGAACCACTCTCAGTCCGGGGGGAAACCAGAGCCAGGAGATTAGTTTTAGTTCCTACTCAAAACAAAAATTATAGACATATCATTTAGAAAATTATAATTAAAATTGAATTGAAATGTAAAAAGCTGAAGAGTAAAGTTGTACTTCAGCAAAACTCGGTGACGCCCCCTGCTTCAGTGAGAAAGTGGTTTAGCCTGAAACAGATGTCCGGGCGTCCGAGTGTGAGCAGAGCAGAGAAAGTGTGGACGGAGTCTACAGAGAGGATGCTGTAGAGGAGCAGAGGACTCAACAACACGAGGTAGATACTAACACAGACACAAAATGAAAATATCTATCTATCTATCTATCTATCTATCTATCTATCTATCTATCTATCTATCTATCTATTTACAGAAAGCGGTTTTAGTAAGAATAATATATATTAGGTTTATGACATTCGAGTGTACGGTTTTAGTAAGAAAATATATTAGGTTTATGACATTCGAGTGTGTTATGGTGTGCTTGTCTTTTGTTGTTTATTGTACACTATTTATTATATATTGTAAAAAATTATAAGAAAGTTTAAAATATATTTTATATAATTTTTTATTTACATTGAATATTTTATTTATTCGTTTATACTTTTTGTAGTATTTTGAAAAAGTGTTGTCTTAATGAATGTGTTATTGCATCACATTTTAGATACTTTACCACTCATACTTTACCTGACTTCTATGTAATGAATAATGAATTTTAGTGCATTTTTTAGTATTGTTTTAGCATTTCATTTCCTCCAGGTTACACTACACAGCTGTGGTTGTTTGTAAATTCTGGTATTTCTTTTTCTTATACCCATTCACACGATTGGAAAATGAGTGCCTCACTCACACTGACTGCAAATTAGAAATAATTTAATTAACAGTCAAAGGAGCTATTGTGCCCCATGAGGGGCTATAATTTCATTATGTTTAGTGTATTACAATTTTTCTACCTCCTCACTTTAATGTCAACTAAAGGTCAATGGTTTCATCCAGACTTTGTTTGTACTATGGACCAAGTAACGACAACTCTTATCAATAATGAAAAACATATATGGGTAAAAGGGGACGTTCGTTTTCTTATCTGTATTTCCGGGCTGATATAATACAGCAGTTCCCAGCCAGAAATAACTGCGGGGCCGATGTGTGAACCAACAAGCAGGTCAGGGGCAGTTTGTGTCCAGAGCTGCAGAATCAACAGCAGCCTTCTGCAGCAGGTCTGCCCACATGTTGACAGACTGCTGTGTAGATGTGGTGCCAAAGACAACACCTCAGTGTTGTCCTGCCCCTGCGGTCACCCACCAGCTCTTTTGTTTACGGTGGTTATTTATGTAAAAAAGTGGAAATCACGTCCTGCTGGTGACCTGAGGTGACCTTCAGTGCCCATTAAAAAAAAAAGCAACAGAGATAATGATTAGGAGAGATGAAATTTCCCATAATACCTCAGTCATTCCTTCAGCCTGTGTGGAACAATGGAGCATCTCTTCTTACCCGCTGTATTTATGTAGTCGCTGGGCCGTGACAGAGCTGCTGTGTCTGGACAGCATATGGCCTCCAGAGACTGGAGCAGGCCGCTGTGGTGGTGCTGATTACTCCTGCATTGTGTCTGTTGGAGAGCGGAGACTCTGCTGTAGTTCACCGTGTTGATTTGAACGAGCACTGACAAATAAAAGCAGCTTACAGAGTTCGAGCCTTTAACCAAACCACCTCACAGCTACAGTCCACATCTCCACCGTGCTGTCACCAGTCTCCGGTGTGTGTGCGTGGACGGTCCAAAGTCAACACAGCTCCTTAAAGCAAAGATCTGACACCAGTGAAGTGCCCTGTAACACAACACTCCCTCCCTCCTTTTCAGCTACTCCCCGAAACTGATGCACTTTTCCTCCAGCAGCCCATACTGCCTAGAGTGGATCCATTCTGCTGAATGGATTTTGGCTTCTCACCAGACTCTGGAATAAGGCATGCTGTAAAGTCGTTTGGTTTCTTCCATAGTATCAGCACTCAGTGGAGAATCTTAATTACAGGGTTCAGGCAGGCCTCGGTCTGTTGCAGGCATCCCTGACTGCTTCCTGGGCCAGGCCGGTCCCCGTTGGTAATTCCAGGGCCGACCACAGTGGTAATGAGCACGGTGGTGGAGGCATTCCAGGAGATCTCAGCTCTGGAGGCTCATGGGAAAGGGTGGTGGGGGGAAGTCAGCGAGACAGTGAATTCGCATCTTGATCCCCAGCCATAAACACCTACTTCCGATGATGTCGCCCTGTAACGGTCCAGTGAGGATCATCAAGGCCCGTCCTTTGACACATTCTAGGTCGTCCTCATCAGCGGTGATTAAAGACGTTATGACTACATCAGTCTAGTCTGTCGGGTGGAGACAGTGCTATCACGAGTCATCCTTCGAGGAAATTGGCTTTTACTCCTGTTACACCCATAAAGTTCTACTCTACTGAGGGGCTTTCATGCTTCAAAAGTGAACAAACTTTTCCAGCTTTTTTTTTTTTGAAAGCTATGATAAATGGATTTGCAGTAATCTGCAACTTCTGCTGAGACAAAGTCACACACCCACCCATCCACCCACCCACTCATTTTTAACCACAAACATTAGCAAGAGTTATGGAGTGAAAGTGGGTAAATCCCACATTACCATCGTCGGCTGAAATCCTGTTGACGTCTTGGGTTTTTGTGATTGCTACAGTGCTGAGAAGGCCGTGACCTTGTACAGTGAAAAACAACTCAGCGCTCTTCCTTTCTTCACCTCTCACTGCAGCAGTCTCTCAGTATTGGCCCAACAATGCAGCTCCGGCCCAGAGCGGTGCTGTCAGCAGATATTCTGCCTACAGCAGACTATTGAGGCCGATCGCTGGATACAGGGCCTTTGTTGCAGTGTTGTTTTACTGGCTCTGGCTGGGCCTCTCTCCGTGCCACTGTCTGCTCACAGCTCTGTCAGTTCACACGGGCTGCTGCGGAGAATGGACCGGGCCGATGGAATACACAATGGTTTCCTGTTAGAGGAGGTTGTCATCTGAGGCTTCCTGCTCCCAGCAGGAAAAGGTCTGATATAAATCTCCGAAAACAAGGGATGAGGCAGAAGCTGAGGATTAAACACAGCAGCTCTGGCCACACAATTACTCACGGGGTATTTTTACACCACACTGGCTGCCGCATTATTCTTGCCTGTCTCACTTTGGCAGTTAGATGAAGAAGTTGTTGCCACTGTTTCTTCACGAGGTAGGCACAGGAAAAACAGTAGACGATCAAAATGGGGTTTTTTTGTTGTTTTTGAGCACAAAAACAGCTTATTGTTGGTTACAGAATCTCAGATGTGTGACACCTAATCAATTGTTTAATGTGGTGACAACCATATTATGTTAAATTACAGTTACCACCGGACTGAAACTTTTTTATTTTGATCTATTTCTCCCTTATCGTCTGGCGTTTTCATCAATAATAGGAGAATAGTCTTCTCCTTCTTCCTGTCGTCCGTCTCCATCTCTCGTTTTTTGGTTATCGTCAGTCAGATGTTTGGGGCACAACAACAATAGAGAAGTGCACATCGGGACCATAAACATGAATTGTGTTCTCCTGTTTCTGAAAGTGTGTCAGCGCTGCACAGGAGTCAGCAGGGACCATGTGACCTGCTGCTGTGTACAAACCCAGCATTGAGACATTCTTCCACTTCAAAGCCCCCAGAGAGTTCTCTGGACACTGGTTGAATAGGAGCCGTGGGAGGGGTGTGTGGGGGAAACAGGTGCAGTCCCTGAGCGGGGTAATTCCTGCTTCCATCTTCTTTCTTTTCTGGGGTCCGGGCTCTTTAAACGCCCCCTGCCACACCTCATGGCGACACACTCCCCCGAACGGCAGCACCGTGCCTCGTCACCATGGCATCACGATTCGGATTAACCTCTGCACATGTGCCGAGTCAACCGTGGGGGTCTGCCTCTTTTGTAATTGAGCATGTGGGGAAGGGGAGGGGGGTGCTGGAGGAGGTGGAGGAGGCTGATACTGAGCTGCATGGATAAGTGTGTGAAAGGACACTCGCCAGGCATTCACTTTTGTTAAGTAAAGCAGCAGGAGGGAGACTGAATGAAGCCATGTGGCAGGAAGGCAGCAAGAGAGTCTATTTTGTTGTAAATGACCAGTCTGATCAGAACAAACATGTTTCAACAGGTATTTAAAAAAAGCTGGGGAGCAGACAGTGGAGATGACGGCCGTCGAGAGTAAAGAGGAGATCAGTGACACAGACAGTGGGATTATTCTGCACTCTGGTGAGGAGGCTGCAGTAATCTTCAATTACAAATGACAAAGCATTAACAAGAATGTTGCAGAAATGCTGACTTCAGGATGAATGGCTGATCATTTTTTTTTCTCTGTAGGTCCAGACAGTCCCACGTCTCCAATCAAAGACCTGACCACTCACACCAGAGCCCTGAAGCTGAAGCACCAGTGTCTGGAGGAGCGTCTGGAGCTCTGTCTGCTGGAGCTGAGGAAGCTCTGCATCAGAGAGGCAGTCAGTGAATTTGAATATTCACACAACATTCAAGAAAATAATAATAATAATATACAAAATATCACATTTTTTTGGTTTTTTAAATTCACATCCATTTTTGTGTTTTCTTTCAGGAGCTGACTGGTCAACTGCCCTCTGACTACCCCCTGATGCCTGATGAACAGCCACCTCGGGTCAGAAGAAGGATCGGAGCTTCTTTTAAGCTGGATGAAGGGCTGATCCATGTGGATCAACAGGTACAAACTACTCTCACTGTAGTTGTAATACTTTTACAGAGTAACTGTTCAAAATGCTGTACTGCCCGTCAGCTTCTATCTAACGTCATCACAACTTTTCTTCACCGCAGAATCCAGAGCTGCAGGCACTGGAAACTGACCTGGCTCTCCAGCAGCAGATTTATGAAGCTGCTCGTAAACTCTCACTGGAGGGGAATCTCAGCAAACCACAGAAGAAGAGCAGGCTGCAGCAGTGCAAGAGGGAGGAGAAGAAAGTGAAGGATCTGCAGGAGGCCGTGTTCCAGCACCGGGTCAAAAGCGAGTGCAACTCACCCTGCATCACCACCAGAAATAGTCAAAATAAAGGTAAGAGACTGCACTGCCCCTTAAAGGAGATGGTAGGCACTGCACTAATAACCAGGAGTAACCCCTTCCTTCTGCTCTGTACTTGCAGACGTCAGCTTGTCTGATGACAGCTCTCTGTCTGATGTTGTGGCTCTGGATGAAGGTGAGTTATATGTGACAGCTAAACCATAAAATAATATATTTCTCCCTGTTATTTCTTGTTTTGGCCTAAGGTTATTTTTTCTTGTCTATCTTCTTTAACTGGAAATAACTTTAAATATTGAAAATTCTCTTCCTACATAGCAGTGGTTCCCAAAGTGGGGCAAAGGGCTATTGCAGGCAGGGCACAGGAAGGCAACTTCATCACATTTATTTATCTCTTCACTTATAACACAGTGGAAACATTGCACTAATTTGTGATTTTTAATTCCTTTCCTTTTTTTAGTGAGAATAACAGTTTTGTAGGAATTATAATGCTTCAACTGAAGTTGAGTGAAGCCATATGTTTGAACTCGACAATAACTACAGCGTAATTCACGTCGACCAATGGTGTGTTTTCTGTGAACACCTTGGGTTTTGGTGGGACCACAAATGAGAACAAAACTCTCTGTCAGTTTGACTTATTGATCTTTTCTTTGACCACCCATAGATGTGGACTCGCCCTGCCCCCTCTCTCCTCCAGTGTTGGGCACCTCCTATTCAGACCCCCTCCATCTGTCAGCCAAAACCCTGCAGAGCAGCCAGATCAGTGTGGAGTACGAGCGCTCCCCCATTCAGAACTCTCCGTGGAAGGAGTCCAGTCTGGATCAGCCGTACAAGAAGACCACGGAGCCCCAGTCCTCCTGCAGCAGCAGGTCCAGGTATTACCACCAGCTGAATGTTCTGCTAAATAACAACACTAAACTTTAACCTTCCAACCGCTGCCAACTCTGTGTCAGGTTTATGTAGTGCAGGTCTGTGATATCCTCCACCAGGAAATCACGAGGCAGGATGTTATTGGTCTGTTTATATAAAGCATTGTCATTGTGTTCAGGCCTGACTCTGATTATTTGTGTTTTTGTAAACACTGCTCATAAACACACCTCTGCAGCTTGACTCAGGTTGACCTTCTGCTCTTGTTTTGTGCAGCAGTCCTGCAGGAACACGTGTCTTTGCGCAGAGTTCCCACATTCCCCTGTCTCAGTTTATCAAGAACTCAGCTCTGCGTCACAACCACTCCACCAGCGCCCCCTCTACTCCAGAGCTGCGCATACGTCGCCAGTATTCCCAGTCTTTCAGGTATCTTAATTTTTTATTTGTTTAATAAATACATTTGATAAAAAGTTTAGATTTTTTTTAAATACTAAAAAATCTGCACATTTGTTCTTAGGCTTCCCAGAAATAAGCCACCTGCAGATCTGGAGCGCCTTCCCTCAATCAACCGAGGTCGAGCTAAACTCCCACAGCGACTGTGTGCAGCTGACTTTATGATGCGCTCTCTGGATTACTCCCCACTGCGTCCATACCAGTCCAGCTCTGAGGACAGCAGTTCGGAGCACTCGTCATCCTCTTACGTCAGCTCCCCAGGCAGGGAACGACCCAGTGAGATCCCAACACTCAGCCCACCACCTTATGGATTCCACTTTGGAGCTCAGAAGAAAGGACAATCAAACGTCTCCATCCCACACAGAAACAATCAATCTGGGCCTGGCACCGGTTACACCAAGCCTTCTGTTACTGCAGAGGAAGAGCCTCTCTCCCCCCAAAATCTGGACATGGGGAAATGCATTCTGTACTCCCCTCCTGTAGCACGCAAACCTCAGCAAAGACAATGGCAGGAGGGAGCAGCGACCCCGAGGAGAATTCTGAAACCTCCTCCTCCTCCGTATACCAGACTGGCCAGAACACCCTCTTTGAAGGAGTATCCAAACCACGCCTTTAGGCTGCTGCCCAGAGAGATCGTGTCGGAGGAGCTCAAGTCCTGGCACCAGAGGAACCAGCTACAGAAACTACGACCAGGGAGTGTGGACCAGCAGCCCCTCGGCCCCCTGGGTGTCATGAGTCCAACATCACCTCATCTGCCTTCGTTTGAACGGGTTGGTACAGAACTGGTCCACTCAAAATACTTTAAACCACCATTTTGTGATACAAATGATAAATTAATTGATATAAATTATTCGTAAATTCCTTTGTTAAAATAACACAATATATATTTACAATTAATTTAAGAACACAAAAAACTATTATGACTTTTCTTCTTTATAAAAATATAATTTTAAAGTCACTATATGCAAATTCTTTAACATTTACTAAATATTAGATTTAAAATTAACCATAAGGAATATTGATTATTACGTTTTTAAAGCGATCTAGACAATTGTTCTCCAATTTCTCCAACGGTTTATTTGTCCAGTGCTGGGAAACCACTTGGTAAGCCTGCCACCTAGTGGATGTAAAGCTGCAGAAATACGTGTAAGGAGTAAATATATTGGTGACAGGTTTAATACCTGAATAAAATTATCTAAATTCTATCAGTATAACAACGTAACTCTTAATGCTTATTTCCCTGTGAGGTACGTACTGTCGCAGGTTTGGATTAGCTCATTTATTAGCTTTATTAGCATTGTCTACTTTTAGTATAATACTAACGCAATAATACCAACGCAATGTTTTTATTTAAACATTTTTTTATCTGTTATAAACACACATTAAATCTGTATTTCTGAAGTTGTACATTAGCTTCTGGCGTTTGCTCCTAGCATTTGCTTCTAGCAGTTTGACTTACATTTAGCTAAAGACGCCCAAATAGACACTTAAAAACAAGTATTTCTTGATGTTTCACAAAAGTAAACTATATATATACTGTACCTGTATTAAGGGGCCTCAAAAGCCTGTGAATTACGAGGGCAGTAAGTTTGCTGTACGTCCTTGGTAATTCCAGACTGATTTAGTATGATGATATAACATTTAGGAGCGTACTTTGACATAAATTGAGTTTAATAATCAGAACTACTTAGAAATAACGAGCAGGTCGTCTAACGTGCTGTTTGCCCCAGTGCACTTCTTTGTTTGTACAACAATCAAGAAAACCAACTTTGGCTCCAGACAGTGTGTTTGTGGGGAGGGGTGAGGTGACGTGTCTGTGTCTGTACTCTGCAATTTCACACCAAATACACAAGTCTCACTCGGTGTGTGTGTTTTTCTTTTGCAGGGTTCGGGTAATGTGATTCTCCAGCGGGCTGCTGACGGGACGCCACTGCAGTGGTTTGTGGCTGAAGATGCAGAAATTGTGAGCCAAGTGTAGCTGGGCCACAGCACATGTTCCGGAGACTGTACTGTATTTGACTGCTTTTTTATTTATCTGTGTATTTATTTACAACACGTGGACCTATTGGTACCTGACCAGCACATTTCCCCTTTTTTTTCTTTTAACTTATACAACTTTATATAAGGTGCTACACCATTTATTATTTATTTTAAACTGTTCCCTTGATATCATTTTTGAATTGAAGAGCTGCTGTGGTTACAAAATGACTTTTGTTACCCGCACACGTTTGAAAATCTCCCTACAGTCTTTAAAGAACCCCCTTCATTCCTGATATAACTATGTAATTTCTAGCTTACATAATATTTATGCATTATTTAAGGTTTCCCAGCATAGAGACTTATTAATGAAATCTTGATAGACAGGAGTCACAACTAAAATTGTAACCCCCTTGTGGCCGCGATGTGAAGTTCTTCTAACGAATTATCTGAATATCACCTTCATGGTGGTTTGATGAATGTTTTTTATCACAGTATGATGACTCTGTTACTAACCAAGTGATTGTATCAGTTTTGGTATTTTTGGTATATTTATAATAAAGGAAAATGGGACTGATGACAGGTTGTGGTTTTTGTGTATTTTCTTAAATGGTCTCAAACAGGTTAAAAACAGTGATCATACATCAAATACATCAACCTGCCTTTGTTTGTTTTTCAGTTCCTGTTTTTTTTCCTATTAAAGAATGTTTAGTTCTCAGTATATCCTGATTAATCGTGATTAATTATGATCATGATTAATCAAGACAATTGTAATATGTATATACATACAAACACATATATAAATACAATATATAATATTAATGGAACTCTGGAAGTTCTGTTCAACTAAATAGGCCAGGTTCCACTTGAAGTAAGTAAATTGTTAGTAATTTGAAACCAGAAGATCAATATATTTCATTACATATATATATATTTATATATATACAGTACATATACGGTTCTAATGGTAAATAAGTGCCGTGAGTCAGAAAAGGTTGGAAACACTTGAGGCATCTACATCTCAAAGATTCCACCAAACAAAAGTCGACACCAGGACAGAGAAAAGCAGCAACAGGCAGAACTGAATGAGCAGCCAGTGGCAACAATTTTTCCAGTGACTTGGCAGATGTAGTTTCCACACAGACCCATACCTGAAGAGAGATGGGGTTCAGCCTGCGTTCAAGAGAAAAAGATCGGCAGAGAGAAGAAGATGCTCTGTGAACTCACGTGAACGCAGAGCTCCGTCTGTGGACATTCAGAATCTTGTCCTTGTCGGGTTTCTTTCTCAGAGGAACAGGTTTTCTCTTGTGTCTTTGCCGCAAGGTATTCACAGGGGGACTGTAGTAACGACAAAGTTTTTTTAAATGTGTCATCGTTAAGAATTACTACAACAAGACTGACAGGAGGCTCTCTTTTGTTCTAGTTCCTTAAACGAAACAGCACTTAACAATTCCAGCTCAATGTGAAGATGTTGACAACGTCAATATGGGAACAGCAGTAATAAGAAAGGCAGAGAGAAGTAGAATTCAGAGCGCTGTACTTTTTGTTTAGTGTTTTCCTGTTGACCACTGGTTCTGAAGGAAGAGGCTCTGTGCTGATGATGGGATCAGGTTCTGGAGGAGGCTGAGAAGCTAAGACTTCAAGCGCACCTCCATATGGATCAGCTGACCTAAAAGATTTAAATATATACATGTAAAACAAACTAGTCGGCCATTGTGCTTTTGTGGTTTTAATAATGTCCCCTCAGTTCGACCTGTCTTCCACTAACACACTGTCGTCCTTGTTCATGGTGCAGTAACTAGAGTCCGAGCTGCGGGACGGGGACGGGCAGGACTTGGTGCTGGACGGTTCTCGACTTGACCGCTGTCTGGAGTCTTGCTTCCTTCTTTCCTGTAGAGCACGAAACATCACTGTTGACATGACAAATCGGAGCACAGTGTGAAAGAGCTCGGCTAAAACCACGTTACCTGGGTTTCAGAGGTAACGATGGACACACTGACCCTCCTTCGAACAAACTTCTGCGTCAGGGAGAAGAGAGGAAGTAACAACAGACTGGACGAAGCTGAATGACATGATGTATGTTTGTACCTTTGGGCCGATTCTCAGCGTGTCCTCACTTTCACCAGGATCTAGGAGTAAAGGACCAATGACCTGATAAATACATCCGACCAACACCTGCACACAGACAGAAGAGGATAAAAACCTGGGGAGGCGTCGGGGTCCGAGAGGAGCTTTTTCCTGGCCTCCTCCAGCTCCTCCTGGAGCGTTTCATGTTGCTTCTTCAGGTTCTCCACGTGAGCCAGTATGAGCTCCACCGCCCAACTCATACGGGCCTCCTGTTGGAGAAAAGGGGAATTACAGGTCTGTTTTAAGTGAGTAACAGCACTAGTTACTGGAAAGTGTGAGACATAGTTCAATGTTTCTAAAAGAATGCCAAAATATAATTTAAAAATCACATATTTTGTGCTTAAAAGATCAGTGGGATAAATATCTCTGTTTACTTCAGATTTCAGAGTTCTACTTTCTGTTCAAAACAAGGTTGGACTTAAAAATATTAATTCACTTTTTTTCCCTAGAGCAGTGGAGTAACAAACCTGGTGGACCGCACCGAGGACTTCAGCCGTGGTAGAGATCCGTCCCACAGTCCCACTGATGATGTCCAGACACAGCTCCAGCTTCTGCAGGATCTGACTGCGCTGACTGTCCAGACACAGGCCCTTCAGGACCTAAGAACACACACACACACACACACGTTTATTCAGTACAAGCCCAGGCCCACTCCCTGAGGTCTAACATTAAGGTCGTCCCTCTGCTACCTCCAGCGTCTCCCTGCCTCTGCTCAACTCCAGCTGGATGTTCTCCTCAGCCAGGTTGCGTGAGTGCTCCTCTGCCTGGAGCCTCTGCTTCAGTGTGTACTGGTCACAGCGAAAGGCCAGAGCAATTTGAGAGTAAGCTGTCTGACAGAGACAACACAGAGGTGAAGTACAAATGTACCAGGTGAAGTACAAGTGTACCAGGTGAAGTACAATAGTACCATGGACTGGGCCCTTTGGCGACATGCTTTGATTTACTTTTTAAAAATTCAATAAATGCCAGTGTCTCCATAAAGATTCATGAAATATTACTAAATTTTATACTTTCTTGTTTGTCATAAAGATTCATTACTAAATTCATTACTAAATTTTATACTTTCTTGTTTGATTTAACTGCTCAAATTTTATGAGTATTCACAACATGAATAATTAAAAAAAATATGACATGAATATAATATGAAGGAAATATATCATTTAAATGTGAAATGTATGCTTAGACATATTTAGGTATAAAATTATGATTTTACTGTTTGAGCAAGCACAATAAATAGTGCAGTATCTTTTCTCTATGATAATATATAAATAAAAATCTTGTGACTCAACAGAAGAAACAAAAATCAAACTTGCTGAAGGTCTCACCTCCAGATCGGCCTCTGACATCTCCACACTGTCAGACAAACAGGAGGGGTCAGAGTGTGAGGTCAACTCAAGGTCACGTCTGTGACTGACAATCACAGTCATAACATCTACAGTACGATGAAGGTGTTTATTTGACAGTTAAAATACGTCACCTGTTCAAGCTGACGCGTTCAATGATGGACAGATCGTACCAGCTGGTGGCAGGTTGTGACTCCTCCTGACTGGTGTCTGGTTTGTTGTGATAAAAACAGACTTTGATTCAGAGCCGTGACTGTGTGAATGAATGTGATGAAATAAACTTTATTATTTCTGTTACCTTCCTCACTGTCCTCACTGTCCGTCAGAGTCGACAGGAAGTAACTGTTCATCTTCGCCATCGCCTGAGAGAATTCGGAGAAAAACATTCTCTGTTTCTGATCAACATTTCAAATTTAAAAGTAAGAGGAAGGACATAAACCTCACTCACCTCAGCATTCATCACCTCGTCCATTGCCATCACTGCTGCAATAATCCAGGATTGTCAGGATTGATTGTCAATCTCAGGTAAAAAGCAGATTAAATCAGTGAAACCATCTCTAAAGTGAGTCCAGGACGAGGTTTCTGTGCTTCCATGTTGGTGTTTGGTCCATTTTCTCCTTCTGTCTTTCTCCTGTACTCAGAATAGATAATCCTATTATGAGATCCACTGTCAAACCAGTGCAGGACGGTCACCTCAGGAGGATCATGGGTAGTTGACTGGCTCCACCTGTTGTTGTTTCACAGCTGCTAAATGATCAGATGTGATCTGAAATGTTGACTTGACATCAAAAGAATGCAGCAAAAAAGAAGTACGCAGCTTATAACAGGTTTAACCATTAACACCTGTGTGGTATTTTAAACAGCAGGACTAAATGTGGTTTCATCATCTTTATTCCAAACATTTAGTTATCTCCAAAGTGGTTCTGCACCAAACTGTTTAATTTTTTTAACATATCTTTTACATATTAAAAAGGTTGAAACACAGGTATTTTACCAAGACTCCAATTCATGATCAATCTGAACATATGATTTCTCCAGGTACATCAAGATCAGGTTTTCTTCTCCATTGCACTGATCAAAAATTATTGTTTTTTTACACATTAAAATAAAATACTCATCTTATCTGGCATTAAAGCCTACCATATGACCTTTAAGCTAATAAGAAGAGGGAGTACACACCTGGTACTACACTAATGAATTACATTACACCTTACTTTTAAGAGGATTCATATTGATGTATTCTTATTCAGACTCAACTATAATAGCAGATGAGTACAGTCGTCCCTCACTTTACCACGGTTCTGCTGTCGAGCCCTCAGTGCATCAGTTTTCTAATATTTTAAATGTATTCTTGTACTGCAGATTTTTCTGTACTAATGACAGTGTTTCTGGTCTTATTTGAGAGACTGAAAAACACCTGAAGTTAATGTGACAAAAACACTCGAACCAGTACATCTTTGGAGCATGTCCATTTTTATTAAACAAAAGCCATCATTTAGTAGAGGCGTTGGGGTTTTCCCATGGTGCTCTTGATGTAGAGGGCACGCACGTTCTGCCAGTTCTTTTTGAGCAGTGACACCAGGAAGTTGATGGCCAGGTGGATGTTGTACACCAGCTCATCTTCTGTCATCTTGACGTGTCCGACGGCCACGGCCAGACAGAGCACCTGTAACACAAGAGTCAGGGATCAGCACGGGCGCCGTGTTTCTTCTCACAGCAGTCACTGCAATGTTGTTGTTAAATGTAGTGTTGTGTCAAACTGGTGAATCTACCAGTTTGACACTAACTAACACCAGAGATTTAAATCTATTTCAATGGTGCCAAATGAATCAAGCTGATGTAGTAACAACCAAACTCACTGGGAAAATTAAAAGTTACATTCCAGCTGATGTACTGCTCAAATTACCTTCTTCATCTGGAATTTGATGGTGGATTTGACCTCTTCTACTTTGGTGGTCAGGTTCTCGTTGTGGGTGAGCAGGGAGGGGAATTTTCCAGCCTTGTTCAGCCCTGGACCCAGGATACGTGGGATCTGCTTGATGAGAGACTCTGAGGCCAGGAAGGCATCGTATTTCTTAGCTAAAAATAAAAACAAATTAAGTCACAACAAGGTCTTGGAACACACATCATACATTATCGACCGACTCTCGTCCTTCAATACTCACCGAGCTTCTTGACCAGCTTTTTGTTCTTGTTGAGCTTCTTCAAAGCCTCGATGTCCATGTGAGGCATCTCTGCAGCTTTGGCCTCGTCACAGTGCTGCTGGTCTCCCAGAACACACACGGAGAACTTGGGCCTGGGGAGACTCTTCAGCCTGTACATTAAAGCAGACAACCATGATGTGGACGATACTTTTACAGCAGTTGGTGTCAGCTGGGTGGCACAGCAGTGCAAGTTATTGGAAAGAGGGTTCACTTCCAGACATTAGTAAATGCCATTTCAGTTTCATAGAAAAATCAGGTTTGATTGTCAGGCCACACAAAAAAAATGATTTAACTCAGATAAAGGATCAATCAGGAAGTTATCTTTAAACTCCAGGAGGGGTATTAAATCATATGTTGTAAATAATAATAATAAAAAGAATCTACCATCCAATGCCACACCAACTTGACTGTACACTGTAGTAGAGAAATTCTTACCCATACCACTGCTGTGGTCGGTGTCCAGCAGACCTCTTGGGTTTACATAAATTGGTCGGCTTGAGAACATGAACCAAAGAGCTCAGTCACTCAAAGCCTCCCCTCATGTTTTAAGACCCAGGGTAGGGGTCCGTCTGCTTCACCTCCACCGGCCGAAGCACAGCGTTGGTTCAGTCAGACTACCCATAGTACTTTACCATGCCTGCCCCGGGCCTGTCTGGTCCTTTTTAAATTATAAGATTTATTTGACAAAGCCTTTAAAAAGAAAAGGCTGGTTTGTACTCAGACAGGGCTGGAAGCACACAGGGAAAAGATTGGGTGAAACAGTAAAGGGTCGAACCTGACAGTGCCGGAGAAACGCTTGTCCTTCTGGGGATCATAGTTTTTCAAGCTGATCTGCAGCTCAACCGTCTGCAGAAACCTAAAGACAAACAATTCAAGTTTAACAGTGATTCACATTAAAATCTACAATGTAAACACATCACTGTTTCAGTACTATGGGGCACAGAATGAGTCAAGTCCATTCATTTATCCACAGGCTCATAACATGTGACTGTTGTAATAATCTTCTATTGTTGTATTTAATGACTGTGTCCCTTCTGTATTACATACAGAAATAACAAATGTTTTTTCCATATACAACGATGCCACACACTTGTAAGAACTGTTCCACACTTACTTTCTGCGCTTGTTCCTTGCTCCCGTCAGAACTTCTCTCACAGCTTCATACAACGTGTCCCTGGTGACCTTACTGCAAATAACATGGAGTAAAACACACGGAACACATTAGATATGCAGCATATAAATCATTCGTTAATATGTTCATTCCTCAAATGCTTAGTGACAAATAAAACAGACATGTAGCTTAATGAACAAACTATAAACGTCTAGCTAGAAAAAAATGTCTATATTTTAGGTAAAGTGCAGTAAACGGTGCCGTGGTTCTCGAGCGGTATTGGACACTTGAGGGGTAATAAAGTAAAACACCAGCAAGTGCTACCAGAACGGTGTGAAAAACTTAAATGGTGGCTGATTATAACATTTAATGTTGAATTATGATCTTAAACAAATTTGTGATCAATGGATGGCTTCGGATTGAGTAAGATTATCGGAGTGCTCTACGCCGGCTCATGTATGGCATCCATACTTGGAACATAGCACCATTTAACTTAAAATAAAAGGACGTTACGACACAGCGATCGCAAAATATAGTATAGTTAGAGGTTCAACAGCACAACTAAACAAATGTATGCCTTTAAATGTATTTCTACACAATATACGGTCCAATTATCACTGACCTCATTTTAGCGGCTGGTCGCTCCCGTCTCGCTAGGATGAAAAGGAAGTCTTTCCGGAAATGACGCAAAATAAAGGCGCCTGTAGTGACGTCCCTGAAACGTACTCGTTTGTTATATTTTTTAAAAACTGACTTCTAACTCTTTTATTCTGTCAAATCGAAATGATCTTTATTGGTTTTTCTTTTAGCTATGTCACAGTCTCCTCTTTTGTTGGAATATGAATGATTAACCACAGGTTTAATTATATGTCTAATTCTTTGTAATTTATTTTTCTTTAGTCTGGTCATAAGATTTACTAAATGACATAGTTATATTTTTAAAAAATGCTTTCAATTCATATACATGACCCATGCAAGAGGAAAATGTAGTCCAGTCTACAAGCCTACTAATAATAAAGTATTCCAAATTTCATATACATGTATTTATGTAAATATTACATTGATCTTAGTACATTATACATTTCTTAGCACTTCAAAATAAATATATAATATAATAATTTTATTTTCAACTATTTTTGATCCAGAACTAAAGGAGAACAAAAAACACTATAATAATATTGAATATTAATCATCAAATGTACAGCTGCAGGAAATCATTGTTTACATTCATACTATGATACTATACGTAAACAGTAATGTTTTGACTTTTCATATATGAAAATCACAGAGGATGAATAATAACAATGTAATAAATAACGGTTTCCATAAAAGTGCATTGGGAAACATTTTAAATCTACACACACATTGTTAATACATTTAACAAGTGTGTAGATGCTGGCTGACTATTGTACTAGTGTGATCATTTGGCATGTGTGATTTTCCTTAGAGCAGCTTGAAGAGACTTTTTCAGAAAAGTCTCGTGTAACGTCAGGCAGCCATCTAGAGAGTGTTTGTTTGTAGCATTAACCTAAAATAGAAAAAGACACAACATTTTGGTTATAGTCAAACAGCTGTAAAATACTAACAACCTATTTAATATACAACCAAAACCTTAAATCTTACATGGTTGCTGTATTTGGTGAGGACAGTTAACATCATCTTTGCAAACTTCACAGATTTTGTGAATTTAGAAGAATCACTGACGAGCTGTTCAGTAAATGCTGTGAACACTTCTTCGTTCAAGTCGAGCTGAAAAAAACGTGACGTTTGAATTAGAAATACCACTCTTCCTAGATTTGCACACTTTCCCATGAATACACACTGGTCTGACCTTGGAGTCCAGCAAACTGTGGATGACAGAGAGCAGTGCCTCACTCCATGACATTTTAAATGTCATTCTGTAAGGATAGAAGGTAAAAGGCAGTGTCAACAAACAGCTGGGCAGTTGATGACCACTTTGTAGAATTTAATTTCACCGTGTCCTCCCTTTGACATGTGGAAACTGTTAGTAACTAGATCTTACTGAAGCAGCAGGAGTCTGTAATGTGAATCAAGGCAGTCTATCAACCTTTTCAGCAGCTCTGCCTGTGGATCCCCTGAAAAAACAACAAAGTCCAAAAAAACAGATCAGCCGAGGTCAGAGACACAGAACTGTTAAAAGTCCTTGTTCTGGCCTGTATATAAACAGGGCAACAGAGGCAAAAGTAAAGAACCTATTTCAAGAGGATTGTTTAAATGCTACAAAAGTTAAATAAGCATGAGGTGATTTTGAACAATAATTGCAAAGTGAACCAAATGACATTAAAAACTACCATCTAATACTATAGTGGAAAATGCATTTTTTGGTTGTGTAGAATTCTTAAGTCAATATGCAATGTTCAGGGGCTTCAACCTAATTTTAGATCAAAAGTAAGAGCCAGTGACGCTGAAGCGCAGTTTCCTTCCATCACCTATGTTCTCTTCCCTTAGAATTGGTCCAATCAAAGTGTGGCATGAAGGTCTGGGATAATGGCTGCACAGTGATGTCAATGCTGTCACTAGACATCTGGAGGCCGGTTCTGACAGAGACAAAACCTGTGCAGGAATGACGACAAATTCCAAATATTAACTAAAATAGAAATGCGCATCAACTCATTGTAAGAGCATATGCTGTACCTTGTCCAGAAAGAGACTCTTGATAAGTGATGATGCTGAGCTGTAGCTGAGGTCAGGAGAGAGAGTCAAAACGCTGCTGCATAGTTTAGGCAAAATCTCCTCTGGTAAATCAGATAAACCTAAGGAAGTGCATAACATCTCCACCTAAAAAGAGAATAAACATTGTTTCCATCCCATCAATAGACCAGCAGGTGGCAAAGTTGTTTTAAATGTAGTCTTACAGCAGCTCACATTCTGTACACAGGCAGACTGTAATATCTACAGGACTGTAATGTTAAAACCAAATATTTAAATACTACCTGATTAGGATCACATTCATTCAGCACTTTCCACACATCTGTGGAGCCCTGGTCCCACTAAAAACATACACACGATAAAATATTACTATCACACTGACACAAGTTATGTGGTTATAAACTTAGAACACATTAATGTGACCACACACCTCTGTTTGATTTTCCAGTAATTCTTTGATTTGAAGAACAGAAGCCTGGAAGAGCAGAGGACAGGTTCTGTTAATTTAACTGTAAATTGTGGGATAAAACCAGATACGGTGAACTTTCTTATAATAAAATCTACAATAAAAATCAGCAAATACTTTAACATGCTCAGGAAGAGAGTCACTGGTGTCAAGTTCAGGCTGCAGCTCCACAGTAGAAGGTTCTGTTGCTGCACGTTCTTCCAACTCAACTGATGTTTCCTCACTTGTCGTTTGTTTGTCAGCTTTTACTCCATCCCTGCCACAGACATCCGTTCTTATCCGTTTACTCTGCAGTCCTGCATCTTCATCATCTGTGTCCAAAATGACAACACTTATTTTCCTTTTTCTTTGAGTTGCTCCAGATGATCCAAAAGAATATTCAGAAACTGATTCTGCTTTTTTGCTGAAGCAACTGGACCATCCTCCACTCTGGCCACTAACACATAAATGCTGTGACAGCTCCTTCAGCCTCTGGCTGCACTGTGGAGTGTACAGAGGTTCATCATTCTCAGCTGAAATTCTCCTCTTCAACTGTCGACACAAGGCAGAGATCCAGGGGTTTGGATGAGGATCCTGACTGAGACATTTGAGGAGATGGAGAACAGATGTCTGAGGAAGAGCTGGGTGGAGCAGGTTGATGAAGGACAGAAGGTTTTGCGTGAATAATGCTGGAAACAGGCACACCAGGGGTTTACTGAAATACAGGAGAAAACAGAGCGATATAGCGTAGTGAGAACAAACAGCAGCAGCATATCAGAAATGGGTGAACACTTCAATATACAGAATTGAACAGTAAACAGCGGTTAACTGTGGTTAATAACACGAGTGAAGGAAGGTGTAAAAGTATATCGCCACGGCCAGTTTCCCGTACTTACACAGTCAGCGGCTGATCATCAGTCTGTGGAGTGGCCACTTCATCCTGACACAGAGTTTTTATAAAATCACTGAGGAACATGGAGTCAGAGCTTGCTCTCTGCTGCTTACGAAAAACGTCAAGGGCTCTTTGGACTCCACAGGCTCCGGACATCAGAGAGTGAACCAAAAGCCTCGACTGACCGTCAAACTTACATAAAAAACTCCTCATACCGAGGGCCAGCGTCACACAGATACCAACCGAGTTTGCTTCTACAGTTTCAACTAAGTTTTAGTTACTTTTTATGAGCACCATCTTAAGGAGTTTCAGCTGCCAATCCGTAACTTTATTGAAAAACCGCCATTAGTTTTGTCTTCTTTGTAGCTGTTATTATAAACTAATTATCTCAATGTTTGCTTCACATTACCATCTAGCGGGCAAACCAGGAACGACAGATTCTAGTCTCTAACATTAATTGTAGAATTGTAAATTAACTACTGTATGCTATTTTTTTTATTATTATTGGAACAAAAACAGGTACAATTTAGCATGAATTTGACGATATTTGTTTTCATTGTACGAGTTCTTTCTTTCATTGCAGGGGACTCTTTCTAGAGGCAGCCATGTTGGTTTTCCCAGACTATGGAGCCAAAAACATGTTTAGTTGTAGCTGCATGCTGCTCAATGTTGTCTGAACCTTTGACTAGGGTAAAGTAGTGAACTTTAAGTAGGGTCTGAAAAATGCCTCTGAATTGAGACACACCATTCTTTGTATTTTTAACTAAAATACTTCTGATTTTTAACTAAAAACAGTAAGAAAAAAAAAACATTTAAACAAAAATTACAATAAAACATGCCAATAAGGAGTATATAGCACAACATTTCAAAGAGATAATGTGTGAAGCAATGTTTTATTTTCTGTGTACAAGTACTACTTGTTTTAAAAGGGATAAAATCTTAACATTGTGTTCTTACCAAAACCAGAAACAGATTGCCATCACTAGAATCACGCATGAACAGTAGTGGACATCAGGTAGAGACACAACACATTTATCTTTAGACAATTAAAACTACCATTCACACAACATTTAAAAAAAAAAAAAAAAAAAAAAAAAAAAAAAAAAAAAAAAACAAATTGATTGTAGAAACATTGAGAATAATATTGCTCAAATGGTTAAAGTGGAATTTGACAACTTGTAACATGTTTTTTGGCTCAAAGAGAAGAAAAAAAAAAAAAAAAGACAGGGCACATCTTCATTTTCTGGAATGTTTACAGTCACAAACCCTGCGTCATTAAAGTACTTTTCAAGCAGCAACAGAATGCAGAAGCCAAGTTCACAAGACAATTGGTTTTGTAGTTAAAGCCTCTGCTGCTGATTAATCAAACACATGAACACACTTGGCGCTCTGTGGTATGTGGTCATGTTCCAATCACAGCTACTCGTGTATTTTAAACCTCAGAGAGGACAAGAGAAGGTTCAGAACACAACAGTTCTGGGACAAATGACTACACCAGTCAAGGCCCCATTCAGTGGGTTCAAACACTGACAAAAACAATGAAAAAAAGTCTCAGTATTCATACTCCTCATCAAGATCGAAAGGAAACTCGTAGTCCTCAAAGTCTTCATCGTCATCATCACCACTGAGAAGGGTCATGGCTATGAAGAAGTTCAGCAGATCAATGCCATCATAGTCTTCATCATCTTCTATAGGATACTGTGAGCAGGAGAAAAAAAAATATATATATAAAAGACGTGTAAACTCTAAGCAAAACCACTAGCAACATTGAGAGTGAAGAATAATTACCCGGAATGATCTGTGATGTGAAGGGTTATGTCTGTATAGGCATTCTGTTTTGAAGGGACAGCATCTGTACCGTGCATAGTAGCCACAGTTTTTCTTGCTGTAATTGAAAGCATTGACACAGTAGGTTTTTGGGGAAAAAACAACAACCAAAAAACATCTACATTATATGCAATTATAATACAATCACTCGTGTGTTAATTTCCTACAACTTAATTTTTAGTGGTACAGAGGCAAAACCAGCAGTCAAAGGACAAATGTAGGTTGATAAATAAAAATAGAAAAAAAAAAATATGGCCTTAACATATTTAAAATAAAGTGTTAAACCCTCAGCCATTTTAAGCAGTTAAATATCCAATAGAATTTAGTGTTGTAGTGATTGCCACTTTTAATTTAAAATGAAGGAAAATGACTATACCTGCATTTTTCTTTGAAGGCTGCAATTAGGCTCTCTTTTTCTTGACCTTCAACCCATTGTCTGTGCGGCACATAAAATGGAGACCTGACGCGACACTGAGGGCAGCTCCTGAGGAGGAATTGTAAAAGGTTTAGACCTCATCACTTCATGCCGAGTCAGACAGCGTTAGATAGATCAAATGCAACTCTCACGTACTTCACCACATCTGGTCCAAATTCCTTCGTTTTCCTCCAAGTCATTATACATTGTAGACAAAATGAGTGGTTGCAGTTTGGCAGTATTCCAAAAACCTTGTCTCCAGGATTCATTTTTTCATACACTTTGTCCATGCAAATGCCACAGGTTACATCTTTACTCTGGAGGAAAGAACTTGTTTCCTCTCCTTTCACCTGGGTACCAGAGGCTGCAGCTGCAGCAGCAGCTCCTTCATCTGGTGCCTTGTCTGAAGAGTTCTGCAGAACACACAGAAACAAAGTGAGCCAGGTGGGACATGTAATGGCCTAAAGTCAGTAATGACCCAAAGGTCTCTTGAAGTTGAAAAATAATTTTAAAAAAAGTCCATCACATACATACCTGCTCATTCCTTTCCTCGGATGTCCCTACTGCAATGTCTGAGCTTTGAACCAGGTCTCCAGAAACACTATGAGAAGAACCAGTACCTGGGAAAAGCAATTTGTTTAAAATCTTGAGGGAGACACATTTAGAATTGTCATTTCCTCAGGAAAAATGTTAATACCTGGCAATTGTTCTTGAGCAACACCCAGAACTCTGTGCCGAGTGCTGTGCTGAGAGTTTGCGACATTAACAGAAATCCCTCCTCTACTCCATTCTTGTCTAACAGTGATTGGCAGAGTGGGCTCTGAACCCCGCCTCACAGGTTGAGCATTAGCTGCATAAGAGGCAGAGGAGGAGGAAACAACAGGGACTGAGCCTCTCCTACTTGCTGCAGCTTCATTAACATCAGACTCAAGGACATGGAGAAACCTAGCATCAGAAAATAAAACATTAGTCATCATAATCACAGTACACAGCTGTATAGAAAGTGAATTGTGAAGTAACGCTTACCTGCACCGCTCCCTAAACCAGCAGCCACCTTTCTGATAGTATCTACATATTTGGGCTGATGGTAGAACTGGCAACACATGACTGTAAATGCACCTTGAACCATATCTGCAAGAGCCATTCATGAATCGCCTGTTGTGACAGAAGAGAAAGGTGAGAGCAAGTCTTTCAGCTCCTATGGAACATTACATTTTACTTTGGATTCTTCATTTAATCAATTAAATCCTCAAAAACCTTAATATTCCAGTGAATCAAAATTTAAAACATCTAAAATGTAGACCAATTGCAGGAAATTGACCACTGGTGCAACAACGGAAGTGTAGTACCGTTAAATGGAGACTAGAGGCAGCAGAGGACAATTTTGTGATCTGCTAAAACTGATCAGCGAGCAAGTATTGTACAAGTTTCAAAAGTCAACAATGACCACGCTGGCTTTGTGTACACAAACAAGTGTTAATCGTACTTGCCCATAACGTTGAATGTGACAGTCTGATAGCAAAACGCACACAGTATGTTGAGCAGCAATAAAACAAACGTCCCAAACAATCGACAGCTTTTTAAACGGCTCAAATGCCCAGTCTTTGTCATGTCGGAAATCTGAAATTCCACTGGCTGAAAAAGTTAACAAGTTACGAACAGCAAGATCGTACGCGATACATTTAATGTCCTTACATCCAAACTCGGTTAATAGAACTCTGACAATTGTGCTTGAATACAGGCTTAAGTGTATTTCGCTACGAGAAATGCAGAAAAGTCCGTCGACATTCACCCAAGCACTTGTTTTGAAACTAGTCTGGACGTTTCTCGACAACACAAATCAAACACAAACTGAAAACAAAAAAACTCGGATCCCTTTTATTAACCCTGAAAATAATTTGAAAACGACAGTTTCAAATGGACGAAAAGCAGTTTGTTTTTTACTTCAACGTCTCTGAATGCTGTACAGACTCACACCAGTTCAACACCAGTTGAAATGGTCGTCTTACCTACAGACCACTCCACTGCGACCCGTGTCCATCCTCCGTGTGTTTTGAGAAGGCGATGAGCGACCTACAGCATATCGTCTAAATAGTTAACAGCCGGTCGCCTTTACCAATTAACACTGGGACTAACCAATGGAAACGTGACGTTAACCTTCGTGCGTAACGTTTGTGTCTTCAGGAAGCGCCAGTCACGTTCACCACCATGTAAATATTTTACAAGTCAGTGTTTCACAAACTTTTTACACGAGGCCCTCTTTTGAAATAGTTGTTTTAACGCACTATAAGGTCGTTACAAAATTATATTTATTCACTTTTGATCGGGTCTAAAACACGACAGAGATAAATGTTCATCTCAAATTGTTTTGAAGATATGCGGAGTGCAGTGCAGTTCCGGGTGTCATACCACAGCTGGCCGGTGGGGCTGTCTTTGAAAACCACTGGCCACCATTAAAGACTGTTCAAACAACTTTTCACTTACAGTACAGCTGGCCACCATTAAAGACTTTTCAAACAACTTTTCACTTACAGTACAGTAATTGCCTTTTTTTACACCAACAATGGCTGAAATGACAAACGGCTAGACTTTTGTGGGAACAGTACCAGTAATTTGTTTTCCCTTTTTAAAGGAATACACCACCCCAAACCCATTATTTGGCAAATATCTCAAAAGATTTTAAACTGATATAAATATGGAACACAGACACACTACACATACCACATAGCACCAACAAAATGAAGAAAAATCAGTGTTTCTAATAAAGTTTATATGTTAGATGCAACTAAACTACATCTGCAGGTAGTATACATAGGTTTATAAAATTGATTTCTCTCCAGTCTTTGAATTTTTCTAAACAAATGTTAATCCATCACTTACACAACAGGCACAGAGGTAGCTTACATAACTGTCTCTCATTTTTGGTGGAATCTTTGTCTTTACTACAACTGTACCAAAAGCAGAAATTAAGGCAAAGAAATAATTATATTTTTTAAACTGACAGATTGGATGACAGAGTGGAATTGTATCACAGAATTTACATTGGAGGTAGATAAGGGATTGAAACAGAATAAAAGCACACCAAGACACTCGAGTCTGTGTGATCCACCGCTCACATAACTCTGAGTTAGCACACACAAAAAAGAAAACAAGTGTGCAGAATGTGACATAAGAAATGTATGAAGCCAGATAACAGTCTGTTACACTTTGTGCTTCTCCTAACCTGACAAATCAGACTGCACACAGACAAGGTAGATCTCTAAACATGTGGTTATATACTAAGTGAAAAGGAAAAACAATTGCTTCAATTGCTTGATTTTGATAAACAATTATCCCAATAAAACATCATTACAGTATGATGGCTTTAGATTAACCCTGCAAATGCCTTGTATCCAGGTGTTTGTATGTCCGGTGGAATATTTGGTGTGACCAAAATTTTACAGGCAGGCATGACTATAAAATAACACATACTAAATACATGAACACAAAATGATAATTTCATGTTTGTCCTCACAAGTATGATCAACAATTACAAATAATTAAAAATAATATAAAATAAACTAAGGGGAAAAAATAACAACAGAAAAAACATACTAAAAATGGCAAGTTCATGATAATGTGCATGTCAGAGAAAACAAAAACATGCCGTCCCTTGTACTTCAACGGGATTCATGCGATTATAGTGTCAGCTTCAGGAGCTAAATCTGTGCAGGACAGTCCACTGGTTACCACTCTGGTACATGGCTTTAAGACAAGAGCTAAACAAAATTCCATTATAAAAAATGGAAATAACATTGCACAGTGAGCTGTAATGAGAGAGCCCTACACTGCTGGAGCCAGCCCAGTTTGTGTTCTTTAATCCAAATGGCAAACAAGGCAGTCATTGATAATAAAGGTGATCTCAACAAAATCAGTTTAGTCTGATATCAATCACTCCACCAATAACATTGTCAACGTTAGAAACTCTTACAAAATACAAACAGATGGCTCTTTTTTTTTTTTATTTCTGCAACAGTGCCACCGGTGTAGGAACACAAAATTCTTTCCCTTCACAGCAAAACTCAGAGCTAAGGTGAGTGAGGAGAAGCTCTCTCTGTAGACACTGCTCTGGGGTCAGCGTTGCTGTGAGGATGTAATAGGAGCAGCCTGGGTGAGAAAACATTTCATCTTCTCTGTTAAGTGACCGTTGTGGGAAACGAACACTTGCAGCAAATGATTCCAGATGTTCATATCTCTCTCTCTCTCTCTCTCTAACATACTTGCATACAATCACACTGTTGTGTTGAAGGTAGTGCTGACACATTTTGAAGACTGATTGCATTATCCCTGCTACTTGACTGACTCACTTAATAAAGAATAATAAAAAAAAATCCGTGCCTAAACCCTGAACAGTGCTTGTACTGAATGCAGTGTATTATTTAAAAATGTAAAAATTAAGTCTGTAACAGTATTGCTAGAAGCACACTAATACATGTCCTTGTAGATCTCCTGTAGTAAAGGGTGCAGCGAAGTCTCTGATTCAGTTTTTTTAATCTTTTGGACAAGCTGAGCGTTCTCAGTAACCAGCTGACGGAGGTCGGCCATCTTCTGCAGCAGCTTGGGGAAGAGGTAGAGGGAGTCCGAGTGGTTTGCCTGGAGGTGGAGGTCCAATGCCTGGAGGACGCTGTCTTGACTCTGCTCCACCTGCTTCACGTTCATTAACCCGGGACGATCTGTGGGAAGAAAGTCCAAAAGATTATGAAAAAAAAGAGTTACACAGACATAAAAACAATTCAACAGAAACAGTACAGAGTACTGATAAATATTTTTAAAGTCATTAAAGATAAGATAAGAAAAGTGTAATTTTACTTTTTTACACTTTTTTTTCACGTTTTTGGTGCAGTTCAGCTATGTTAACTTTGGCCCCAAATGTGGTCTGAAACTTCAAACTGCACCCATACGGGTTAGAAAAGACAGAATTCAGAGAAACAGCACCTTTTGTAATAGACTGTAATGTTATGTGAAAGAAAAGAATATAGAAAAGAGCTTGTTCATCCTGGTCAAAATAATCCAAGGTGTACTTGCTGTTTTCAGTGGGAAACAGGTGGAAGTTGTGCGAGCTGCCGAATTTTCTCATGTGAAAAAGGCCGTTTGACTACTTTGTTTTGTCTAAATGCAATGCCCCTGTTTGCTCTACACCAGCTGGGATCAGACAAGCATGGAACTCTGTGAGAACGTTGAGAAATATTTAGATTCCAAACTCTCATCACATTAAAATATTCAACCTGTAAGTAGAAGACGAAGCCATTTTGGCTTCACATGATACTTTTAGCATACAAAACCATCCAGTCTCACCTCCGCAGAGAATAATGGCAGCAACAAATAGTGCCAGGTCACTGTCATCCAGCTCCAGGGCGTTAAACTTGACAGCAAACTCAAACTTTGGCTCCATGATCTCATTGAAAGGGTTCCTTAAGCTTCGCAGGAACTCCCTGGTGACGAAACCTTTTCCGTTGGCCACCAACAGTCCATCTTTGTTCATGAGAGAGGGCAGCATGGCAAAAATAGCCTCGTGCACACCATACTTGAGCAAAGTCACCTGCAGAAAGCACAGGGAAATAAGGCTGTACATTTGCATCTCTTTGTGCAGATATAGAAATGAATCCACACTGTAGCACACAGAAAACTGCTGACCTGGTCATTTAGAAAGAGGTCCACAAACCCTGGAATGCACTTGGCAAACTCGGTCAGCTCTCGTACGGTCTCCACAGTGGTACACTGGCAGCGGTAGAATACGTGGACCCCGATCTCCTTGGTCAGTGGTGCACCAGGGACCAACTGGCTCCACACCAATCCACTCTCGGCCTTCCACAGTGTATCAACATCGTAGATCACAAAAGGCTAAAAGGAAGGCAAAAACAGACATGTGTAAATGTTTTCATTTCCATTAGCTAAAGCTTGTAAAAGAAGATATTCTCCAGTTCTGTAACGCATCAGTTAATAACTGTTTTTTAAAGAGAGGACTGTACTGAGGTGCTGCTGGTTTTGCCCATCAGGATGCTGCGGGCCCTCTTCTTGGTCATGCTGAGGTTCTTCAGATAGGCTGTGTTGACTTGTTTGGCCAAGGTCTTCAGGTCAGAGCCACCTGGTTTACCAAGGTTGAGTTCCTCAGCGAGCAAGCCTGCAACCAGCTTCTTCCTCTCCGCCTCAGGCATACGTCCGTATCGGATCGCTGAGCAAACATACACAAACATGTTGGATTTGTTATGACTAGTGGTTTTAGTTTAGCTCTCTCTTATGAAATATATATATTTATATATTTATTTTTTTGGTTAAATTACATTTGGTAGACAAATGTTATTTAACAGAGCTTCTTCCCCTTGTAAAACAAATACTGCTTCCCCTTTCTTTCCTTCCTTCTAGTGGGTTTGCTCAGAAACAGGAATCAAAGTGAATAAAAATTAAATCAAACCACACATATCCTAGTTAGAATGTTAGTTAAAAACATGTTTCTGAGTGAACGCTAAAAAATGTGTATGTTATAAAGGTTATACAGACTAATCTAAGGGCTAACAGACAGTTATATCTTAAAACAATAAAATTGGAATAAGCAGCTATGAGAGAAAACCTAATCATTGGTATAATTCTGTTTCCCTGCTCCATCACACATGTGAAGCCATGATATTAGGAGGTCAATAAAGGACTTTCATCTGAAAAATAATTTAAAACTATCTAATATCTTATCTCACCATCATGGGACATCCCCAAAGACAGGCACTTCTGGAAGCGACAATATTGGCACTTGTTGCGATTCTTTTTCTGAATCTTGCACGACCGCTCACATCGGTCATACTCCAGTTTCATTCGTACGGTCCGTCGGAAAAAGCCCTGTAAAAAAAATGTTGTTGAAGCAACTTCTAACACAAAACCAAACAACGAGTTTACATTACTTTTTATAACGCCTTATTGATATTGCATTAACATGCATCCAAACTTTGTACCTTGCAACCTTCACAGGCGTGTACGCCATAGTGAAAGCCAGAAGCCTTATCCCCACAGACTTTACACTCCACACTGATCCCAGACCCTGCACTGTCCTCACGACCAAGACGCAGCTGCTCCGATAGAGAGGGCGAGGAGGTGTGGGACAGATCTGCAATAATGGTAGTTAAAAGTTGATTGTAAAAAATTTTTATTAATTTACCAAGAGCATTTTTTCATTCCAGCCTGAACGAGAATTAGTTTCTAACTGTCTTCAATATGGTCGCCTTGTATGTTGATATTGGCAGCTCCGTTCTTAAACCATCAATGTCTTCTAGCTTATTTTTTGTGGCTCATCTATGGTGTACCATCTCTATATTTTAAAGTTGAATAAACTAAAAACTAAAAATTCATACCTGTGTAGCTACTTGCCGCACTGCTGTTTTGCTTGCTGTGATCATTTTCCTCCTGATCGTGATTTTCTGGGCTCTTCTGGTCCCCGTTTGGACCTTTAGGGACAGACACCACTTCTGTTTCATCCCTATCCTCATCATCATCACTTTCTCTGGCCTTCAGCTCTTGTAGGTCCGTCAGCTCTGACACACTTGTGGCACCACAGCTGTCTGAACCTCCAGATTCTCCCACTGGCGATGTCCACCTGACATCTGCATTGTCCTGAGGGAATCTGGGCTTACAGTAACCATTCACCTTGTTATGCTCTGTGTCAGTTTGCTGAAAACCTTCCATGGTTCCTGTTGAAGCTGACTCAGCGGCTTCCCTCTTGTCACGTTGCCATCATAGCTCCACTGTGAACAAACAATTGGATTTGTTTTAATAGAGCAATACTGAGCTTACAATGTGTATTTAATGACCAGCCTGGAGATAAAATAGATTAAAAAACGCTTTTCGATAAACACAAAAGGGCAGATTTCTAAGGTCTGTTTTATGATCAGCTGCTAAAAAAAAATTGGTATGACCTCCCTTTATCTTAGTTGTGTCAGCTGTTACTTGAATGAATTAACTCATTACTCTTTCACAATCAGTCTATTGATGATCCCTTCCTCAATAGATTGAATTCTACTGGCTGTGTTTGAGGAACCAGAGCATGTGTTTGATAGCAATGACCCTTGACATGATTTACACTTGTTGTAAAGCTATCACTTCATTATCGGTGAGGGAAAAAGACACGGACAGTGATAACCTTTTTTCTCTCTGGTAAGATAATTTACCAAAAATGATCGAGTGAATACATGTACATTGCAAAGGTGTGCATGTTTCGATTTACCAACTATCATTTGAATTATATGCAGAATGTGTGTTTGTCTGACTTTAATTAAGCCTTGACATAAAGGAAGCTGTCTTTGTCACTGAAGTGCAGAGTCGAACACAAAAGAATCCAGACCCAACCACTGTCTGCCCTTCACTATCCTAAAAAGTCAACTTTATCTTCTCTACAGCTTGTAGACATCTGTATTATTGTTTGCTTCAGCTCCATGGCAGGGTGCAGAGTGTACTCGGTGAGTGCTTTAAGGGGACAGTGTGCTTGCACTATGTACACACTAAGCAGTGTTGATCACAAGCGAGGTAGTGGAGGAGAGGGCTTTGGGGGTGGGGGCTACATTTTTGCCTCCCGGCCCTCTAGTGGATTAATCTGTCCGTGAATGTGGCTGAGCCCTCCAAACACCAGCAGCACTGTTTATTCATTAACTGTATCATAATGTTTTCAAGCACTGTCATCAGTCAGAATCAAATTCAAACCTCATGGAAGCTTTTGCAAGACTGTTGTCAGCAAAATTTGTTCATTCATAAATTTATGTGTATCTAGCAAATCAATGAACAAATTGTATTAATGTCAAACATTTAAAAATTACAGAAATGTGTCAAGGCTCTTTAAATGCTACAAACGGTTGTTTATGTTTTATTCAAGTTCAACAAAAATCTATGACACCTAATATTCTAAAAAAAAAAAAAAGGATTCATAGTCAGGTTCATGTTATGAGGTCTTAATGACGTTTTGGCAATGTTAGCTTCATTACATGGACAATACCATTAAATAGAACTTCAAATCAATCCCACAGAAGAGGCATTTCGTTGTTACAACTGCATTAGACAGATCTCAACATAAATACCGAGACAATTTCAAGCACTGCCTGACAGACAGTAATTCAAGACCTAGTTTCTCCGACTCGTGTTACTATACAGAAAAAATCTCAGAAATACAGATTATAACTATAATAGCTGTTAACTATTACACCTCATTAAGGCACATTAAGAATCCAGCAATGCTGCAACTTAAACAGGACTGTGTTTAAGCGTGCGGTGCCGTGTGTTTTCACTTCAACGAAAGACATATATATCCAATACTCGAAGTATATACAGTCTACTTATGAACTTTAGGTTAATTACGATGGGCGAATATGTTGTACACCGTCTCATCCTCGCTTAAGCCTTTAAGACAAGTCATCTCAGAGGCAACCTGTCACTGTGGTTTTCGGGTGTATCTGTGAATGTCCTAAACTTGTTACGAGCCAAGAAAAAATTTAACGGCTTCTGTACAGCTGAACTTTTCCCCTCAGGCTCAGTAAACAACTGTATATATAAAGCTGGCCATCTGTGTGCTGTCAGTCGGTCGTCGCTCTTTTAGCTCCCGCAGCTAGTTGGCTACTAATCCTCACTGTTGACTACTAGTAGCTGTTAGCGTGGCTGACCCACATTCCCGTGTGTCTTTAACGAATGTTAGCTGCTTTGCCAATAGATCTTACCTCTCCTGGTAGTGTCGCTGCTCATTCGCTGGAGTTTAAAGAACTGCCAAAACAACTGATGGGTAGTAGACGGGAAACCGCAGTCCTGAGTCCGGTCCACGATCGATCGGCCGTTGACAAGTTGTGTGAAGTAAACAGCAACAGAGCTAGCGTTGGGGAGCTAACGTCCGACTGCTAACATAAACTTAGAGCGATCCAGGCCTTCATGGGGAGATAGAGTACCGCTGAGGCTCACGGGAGAATTACGATGAGTGGGTATATTATGTGTTAATTTTAATAACGCGTGCAGAGAAGTATCGGTAAGTGACAAACCGACAATCCAGATGAGGCTCTATCCGATACTAGTTGTTCTGTGATTTGCTTTGCTTTGCTTTACCTCAGTGCCCCAACCTCTTCCCTCCCCGTCACATGCCAGGACACACTCACTCACACACACTCAGACACGCACGCACGCAGCACTCAGACACGTACACGAATTTGTGCAGCTATTCTTGCGGTGACTTTCATTCATTTAAAAAGGGCAATTAAAGTCACACTACATTTAATAAAAGGTTGTTCATTTGTCGAGATTTTTTGGTAAGCACATCTAAATGTGTCACCTTTAACATCTTCCCTTCAATAAAACCTAAAAACATCGCGTTATGTTTTCTTAGAAATAGTAGTGTTTAAGAATGAGTTTGTCTAGAGTTTATCCTTTACTGCAGTTAATACCTCTTTGTTGTTCTTTGGGTAATTCTGACCACAACTTATTTATTTAGGTATATGTATTGTTATTTGGTTAGTTAGATGTCATCAATTTACTAAAGTTAATTTTGTTTCTGGAACTGACACAACTGATACACTTTTTACAATTTAGTTCCTGCTTGACCAACGTTCTTGATTGCCAGCTCTATGACTGGGACCTGGTTGTAGTGTAAAAGGTTAGCGGTGTCAGGAGGTGGTTGACCACAGGGAAAGGTGTCAAAGTCAAGAGGAGGACATTAAGGCAAGTACTTTGAGTACAAGAGGCAAGGTAATGTCGGAAGAGAATCCATTGTATCCTCAGCTAAAGTTATCAGCCAAAAGAAACAGAGGAACAATACAAACTGTACACATGTTCCATGAAAAACAAAACCCCTAGACTTACACTTGATTGTCCCTGTGGGAAAATTAATTTCCAAAACACAGTACTCTCACAGTACCTGAAGACATAACAGGTAAAAGTAAACAACAACAGCACAATAGACCACAGGAGCAACAAGTTCACCCAACAAAGCCTATTATTCTGCACAGGACTGTGGAAACAACAAAGGTCACACCCTGAGGTCATAACTAAGATGGCTGCTCATTAAACTGCATATAAGTAAAAGATGTGGTTTGTACTGTTTAGTATCAATTCTGAAGTGTTTTTGTCAATTGGTGATATAACATACAATAACCGTTTAAGCTCAATCCAGGTGTTAGCATGCTAGCTAGTAGAAAAATTCAAAAATACAGTTAGCGATAACTGGAAGGCTCCCAAATCCTGGGCAACGTACATAGTAACACAGAGATACAACACAAGAAAAGAAGTATAAAGCATCATATAAAGCAACTTTATGAGTTGTTCTCACAGAAAGCATTACTAGTTTATCCCAGCTCGAAAATGAGAGGTTGCAAATGTGGACTCTTGAAGTTAGAGGTTGATAAAAATTAAAATTTACATGCAGTCGGTGCAATTTGTCACAGGGTTCTTCTTCTTATTCTGTCATAACGTTCAAAGATTTTCATCAATGACTGGCGTCAGACAAATTCAAGCATAAAGACGTACGCAAAAAGGGCAAACACAGCATGTTATTTCATAGTATATCTTTATGATAGTATACCTAGATATGTATGTACCATTAAGATCTCCTGAGATGTACTTGTTGTGTAATTTGCTATTATAAGTTACATTTCAGACAAGACGAAGATTGCGTGGTTACTGTGTTGTTGCGCATGATTACGCTGTTTATGGTAATAATTCACTCTTTAATTTACAGTTATTGTATGTGTTAGAGCAAACAGGAAGTTCAGTTGGTGCATACCTCTTCCCCTCTCTCTTTCCTGTCTCTGAGGAGTGACATTCTTGACGCTCAACCGACTTTTTACATGTACCAGGAAAAAAGCTTTACAAAAAGATTCCATACGTGAAAAGTATTAAAAAATATTTAATTACAAAGCTGAATAACTACCATATCAAATAATTATATATATATGTAGCTTTTAAATTTCAAACAATTAAACATCAACTGAACTGAACTCTCTTTCTTTTGCGTTGAGCTGTTAAGAGCAGGTATCTTCAAAGAGGCTGCAGTCAAAGTGTGAGCTCAGCAGTAAATACTGCAAATGTACTGATTCATTAATACGTGTTAAGTTGCCACTTCGTGTGAATGGAGGTCAAAAACAATGATAGTAGAGTCATCGCGGTTCTCAAATGAAGACGTCCCACTCTTCTCACAGACAGTTGACCTTTGCTCTTCCTGTCAGAAAATCTCACAGTGTGACCAGATGTTAGCAGGGCTGCGCTATTGGTTTCATGTTTTTAGGGAATGTCCATGTCTCCGTTGGAGGCATGGGAGTGGCGTTTCTCCAGGTCAGACCCAACACTGTTGTCAACATTTTCTTTGCTCTCTTCGTCCCGATCCTGTGTTCCCGAATTCCTTCTGAGGCGCAGACCGGGATCTCTTTGAGATGGAATTTGGAAGGTTTGGAAAGAGCTTCCCAAGGATGGTCTCTTCTCTAAGAGGGAGAATAGAAAAAGCAAAAAAAATTAAAGAATTGTCAGCAAATAGCAAACACTTCACGTAATTATCCTTGGGATTCACACGACCTCCACTGAAGGTCAAACACATACCTCCTGGTCCAATTGGTCGCATCAACCTGTTCATCTGGACATTCCAGTGTTTGACGTTGGTGCTCGCTTGGCGAAGCTTCCTCTGCGCAGCCTTTAGTGAGATAAAAAGGCAGTCATTTAACTAATAAGTAATATTAGCACTACATTATATTTTCATAGTAAAATGATGGTTAAAGTTTTAAAACTTCAAATTTTCTCAGTTTTCTCTCATATTTTAATTTTCAAGGTAAACTGTTATCTGTATTTATGTCAAATAAATACTATTTAAAAACAAAACCTGTAAAACTTTATAATAATTATATTGTTATATATAATAATAATATAATAATTTCTGCATCTAGTTGCAGAGAGAATACACTATGTGTCATCAGACCAACAAACTGAAGTGCAGTGTTACTGATGTTCCTTGTAATTGTCAAAACCATCCACTGCAATCAGTTTCTCAAAGTCAGCGTCTTGTTTCTCTGCGGTTCTTACAACTACATCCTGGTCCACTCTGTGTCGGTTGGCGCGGACTTCCTCCAGCTGCCTCTGCGCCTCGTCCAGAGCTCGAGACTTAACCTCCATTTCCTGCTTGAGCTCCTGCTTCTCCCTCTGTGTCTTCAGGATGTACTCCTCCTGTTCCTCCTGCAGGGCCATCAGTGCCTTCATCTTCTCCTCCTCCTCCGCCAGTAAACTGGACACAATTTATAATTAGATTGTCATCTATATGATTACAATTTGTGCAATTTCCACTCGGTTAAAAGCACTTTCCATCTATGTTCTCAGGTGATGTTTCTATAAATATTTTCTTTACCAATAGTTTAGTAGAGTGTAATAACTAGTATAAAACACAGCACATCTGACTCTGATGTCAACATGAAACAACTTCCCCTGTAAGCCCTACAGCTTCCTCAGAATCATAATGCAACATGAGTTCTTCTCACCACCTGAGCTTCGTATCCTTTATCTTCCTGTAAATTGTTATTACAACACTGTCCGCAAGTTGTAACTTTAATACATTGGTATTGTTTCATACTGTTTACGTTGTTTTATTTCAGTAATCGTGTGTTTGGGGGTTGTGAGGACACTCTACCCTGCTTGAGCGTAGCGGAACGCCTCTTCATCCAGCCGGGCTTTGATTTCCTGCTGTAGAGCCTCCTCCAACCGCTTCTGCATCTCCTCCAGCTCCTGGATTCTCTTCCTCTGTTTCTCTGCTTCCTCTTCTTTCAGAGCCATCTCCGCTTGCATACTCACTCGGGCCTTTGAGGCAAAGGTGAAAAGGGCATCATGATAAATGGTCACCTATTCGCAGCTTCTGAATTCCAACTTCATTTTTCCTCCTCACTCACCTCCTCGGCTTCTCGCAGCTGGACCTCCAGGGCCTTCTGGAGCTGTTCATGCTGTTGGCGCCTCCTTTGCTCGTCCTGCTCCATCAGGGCCTGTGCCTGCTTCTGTGCCTCCTTCAGGAGCTCTAGCTCCGCCAATTTCCGCTCCCGCTCCTCCTGCAGGGCTCGCAGCCTCTGCAGCTCCTCCTCCTTGGCTTGTCGTCTTTTCTCCCGCTGCTCTCGCTGTTCACGCCGTTTCAGTTTCAAATCTTTGTGTAGGGAGTTTTTACCTTCCACGTGCAGCCTGATAGCTGTTTGAATGGCTGTAGAACAGGTGAGAATTAAAGCCTGACAGTAAAATGAAGCTTTTAAGAGCAGTTAAGGATCAACCTGAGCCTCCTCTGACCTGTAGTCCACTCCTGTCTCTGTTTGGTGTCTGAGGCGCTCATCTCATACGTCTTAGAGAGGGTTTTAAGGCAAAACATGCACCTCTTCCCATCTCGGTCAGGCAGCACCTGTTCAACATTCATAACATCAATAATCGTCTCTTCATCATCTTTTTTAAACGATCACATTTTTGCAATCATTTATTTGAAATAGAGTGGTGCCAAGAGAAAAAAACTGAGGAGAACTCACTGGGAAAAGGATGTTTTTGATCCAATGAGCAAATAATGTTTGATCATCATCTATTTCCTATAATGAAGCACGGGTTCAGAATAATTCTGTTGGTTTTTTTCTGGAAAACACATGCTGCAGTATAGAGTGTACTTACAGATAAAAACGACTAAACTTGACCAGATGTTTGTTTGCGAGGGCTGACAGTAGCACCGTGTGACATCAGTGGGCTAATCATTGACTCTGTGTTGACATCTCATACACCACTAATACAGCCAGGGTAACCACTTATCTCAGCAGCTCTGATGGAATGTTATATCTGATTTATAATTTAAAGTGCAGGTTATAAACCACTCCTAGTTTCCAATTACTGTGTTGATTGCAAAATGTTTGGAATAATGAAAATATGGCCTAAATACAAAGTAATAAAAGTTCAGGAGTTGCTTTTATCTTTTTTGATTGTAAAAAAAATGTTGTGCTTATTTTTTTAAATAAAGCAAACATTGGTTTTTATGGCATTCAAAAATACCAAAAAATGAAATACAAACTTTAGAAATTGTAAATAGAATATATCATAGTGTCACAATACTACGACGACTACTTCCACAACTACCATTGTTGATGAATATAATTATGATAATATTGTGTTTGATATTTGAATTGCCACCTATCTACATCTTAGGGGATAGGTGGCATTTAAATGCTAAACTTCATGCGTTCAGACCACATCGAGTTTAACATGATTCATTTTTCAACACTGGTGAAATCCCCACCCACATTTTGGAAATCTTTTCCTCAGAAGAAATAATGCAGCAATGTTCTCTGATTAATTAAAAATGTCATATCAGTCTCAGTCCTTTTTAGTGTCTTCAGAGTTCATCAGAAGTGACTCTTCCCTCTGTATTTTCTTGTTGTTGTTTTTTTCATAGCTTTAAGAAATAAAAAATGTAGTGGGTAAAAAATTACCAGTACAAAGTATAACCAGTAGGTGGCAGAATAATATACAAATAAGCTGCAGAACTGCAATCTAAGCTTAACAAAGTTGAGAAGCAGGCCATGAGGTGTGAGATAGTAATTTAATGTAATTTAAACTTTTATGTCACATTTTAAGTCATTTAAGAATCTAGTGAGAGTTTGGTAAATAATGGTTAAAAAATAGGTCGTCTACTACGACACGCTGTTGTTGTTGTTGTTGTGTAGCTCCACATTTACATGGTGTGTAAGTGTCATAGATTGATTGATGTTGATGGTGATGATTAGAATTATATATTTATAGTATAATATAGTATAACGTTAGGTGACTTCTATTAACCAATCATCTTCAGCCGCTCACCTCCACACAGCAGTTTCCATCCAACGTTATGTTCCCCTGGCAGTCTCTGCGGTCCTCGCCAGTGTAGTACAACAGGTTGCTTGGCCTTAAGGTGAACCAGCGTTCCTTCCAGTTTCTCCTCAGCTGGCCCTTTTTCCACAGATAACCCTGCGTGTTATCAGAGCAACACACACACACACACACTGTCACGATCAAAGAACAGACCACGTCAGGCACATGGGAAATCTCTGGGAGCAGATGTCTCTCCTACCTCTTTGAGGACATCCCCAACTATTTCCCTGTAAACCTCTTCTATCGCCATGCTAATTATGCTCTTTTCAATGCCCTTGGTGACTTTCCCTGAGTTCATCATCTCCAGGAAAACCCAGACGTTGATGCCACTCTGCTGCACTGAGTCTTGGGAGGAGAAAAAGTCCTCTAGCTCAACACAGTTAAACTCAATACTCATGGCCATGCAGACTTTCTTGAGGAGGTATTCCACCTGAAAGAGGAAAGAAACGACAACTGTTCAGTGTGAAACTGAAACTGCTGCACAATAAGAGAGGGACGTAGTGAGAAAAACGTTGTTGTTCTGCTGACGTTTTGGCACTTTTTTAAAACCTCCACAGTCATTGATTTATTTGTACATATGTATATGTGTGTGTGTGTGTGGAATATATATATATGTGTGGAATCACTGCTCACTTTGGTGATGGGTTAAAAACAGAGGTCACATTTGGTTGTGTGCAGTGGAGTGCTGTGTCACAGTGACAAGGAGTTCACTTTCCTCTCCATATATATATATTTATATAAAGTGCATATACGCTGTATACACTGTATATATAATATATAATATATACACACTTCCTGTGTTGTTTCTCAATCATTCCCTTCTACAATAAGACTTTTTCTAGAACTTAAATCACAGTTCTTTTATAGTGGTCTGTGTGTGAAACCAAAATACCAGAATAAAACTGTATAATATTTTGTTGTACTCCATGAGCAACAGAGGGGAAAAAACTCTTCTTGAAACGTTCTAGAAACAGAGTTGGCACCAGCTGCGAAACATTTGACAGGAAACCAAAATGAGTTGCTTGTCAGAAACAAGCCCGCACTGCCGGCTGAGAGAAAAACGCTATGTTCCATGATGTCAAGATGGTGACGATGTAACGCTGCTCTCAGGTCACAGCTTACAGACTGTGCAGTTACCAGAACAATTCCATTCAAGTGACTTTCTTGAGAATCACACTTGTCCCTACCCTGAAATAAGGACACGTTGTGAGGTTGTACGGTATATTTCGGTACATTATTATTGTTCCTACCTCATCTGGGACCATGACCAGTGGATATTTATCCTCAGACAGAAAATTAAACAGACACCACAGTCTGAAGGCGTCCTTCTCTGGCAGCAGTGAGCTGCTGCTTCTGTCTGGTTTGTAGTTTTTCTTTGCCGTGAGAGTCCAACAGAGTTCATCTACGTTTTCTTTAGTAAAGGAGCCTTCCACGACCTACGACAACAAGTGCAGCAACAGAAACATAAAAAGAAAAATCCGGTACAGACTCATCTCTATACAGATTAGAACTGTGTTTTAATCACCTTGTCCAGAATATATTTGTTGAGGTAAGGCATGTATCCCTGACTGGAAACTGGACCATCGTCGTCGTCCCGGAAATGTTCCTCCAATGCCACTGGGTCATGTGGGATGCACAGGACTGTGCACAGGTTGTGGGACAGTACCTGAGTAACCACACATACATACATAGATTTAGTGAAATATTTTCTTCAAATGATAATTAGTTCATGTTAATGAAGCTTGGTTTTACAGGATAATTACAGTGAATAGGCTGAAAACAGCACTAACTGTAAAAGGCCTCCACTACCACTGATCCATTACCAGACCACTAGTTGTTTACTATTTATGATCTAAAACACAAAACTCTGAAAATCTTTGAGTGGAATTAGAATCAACCCATAAAACCAAGTGTTTGCCTCTCCCACACACACTTCTTCCACTGAGTGCCTGCAGTCGCTGCATGAAAGTAATGCATTTTATCAGACAGCCAGTCTCTGTGTGTTGAGCCATAACCACATCCTGTCTCTACCTTCCATCACACTACTGCATCAGTTTTGAGGCCAGGACGTGCAAACTGCCTGCCTGCACAACCACGTCTTCAGAACATGGTGCCTGTGCGTAAGAAGGGGATAAGCTGTGTCATGGGGCTGGTCTGCTGTGAGCCAGGGTTGGCTTTTAGCAGCAGCAGCAGCAGCACATAGCTAGGAACCTGGAGGTGCCTGTAAGTGGAGTCTGACCCATGCCAAGGCCAAGTGACATTGAGTTGAACAATGAGATCAACCAAAAAAAAACCAGCTGCTTCCATTGAGCCCGTGGGGCAGGAGACAACAATCAGCAACATGTTTCCACTTCGTCCTGGCTCTCATTGTAACAATGTTCTTTTTGAGGAACACAGACTCATTCTGTGTACATACTCTATTCAACAGGCTGCTCTCTGGGCAGGTCCGGTGCCAGAGGACCCTTTGCACTACAAGCTGGTACATGGAGGCCCAGTGTGAGCGCAGCTTGGAGCAGAGGGCTCCCATTCATGTGCACGCTCTCGTGCTGCTGCCTGACAGAGGTGCGTATTGTGCCCTCGTTCAGCTGTGAAAGCATTTTTACTTGTAATAGAGGGAAGAAATGTTGTTCCTCGTTGAACAAAATGTGGTTCGACAAAGAAAGTTGGTTTCACACAGGAAATGTTAATGTTGAGTGGAATCAGATTGCTTACACGTATATATTTCAGGAAATAAGACATATATACAAAATAACTGAATAATACATGAATTCTCAGTCATTTATTCTCCACTGAGACTATATCGCCCTGAATCTCACTCTTTGTGAAATTGCCCACGTGATAGATGTGAGCTGAGGTGGGAATCAAAGCAGCCAAGTTCTAAAAGGAGAGTGGGTTATCACGTTAAGAAAATAGAAGTAATCATTTTTTTAAAGTCAACATCTTCACTTAAACAGCCTCCACTCACCTTCAGCTGAGACTTGGACACTTTACCACTCTTCTCCACATCCAGGGCTGTGAAGCCGTACCAGATAGACTTGAGCAGCTCAGAGCGCAGGTCCATTTCTGCTGCACTGTTACTTTCTGGTTTCTTCCTCTGCTCTCTTCTTCTTCTTCTTCTTCTTCTTCCCTCTGCTGTTGACACAGGGCCCCAGAGTGACAGACAAACACCTACACAGTGTTTCTGCTGTCAACCAAACATCAGCTTTTACCAGTCTACTGGCAGTGACACCTGCTGGACATCTACACTTACTGCCAGAGTAGGTGTGTCTTGTTGACTCCATGATGCAGTCTTGTTCGAGTGCAACCAGCGACAAAACTATAATATTTTAGACAAATATAAGAAGAAATATAGCCTGAAGTTGATCTTATATATTTGGCCAACGTCATCAAAAATTGTTTTTATAGTTATGAAAGGAAGGCTGTACAGTGTTAAACATGAAACATGGCCAATTTCTATTGGTCGCAGACAGTTTTGCAATATTTAACCCTAATGCCAACTTTGAATATATTTTAATGGGTCTTTAATGCTATCTATCTATCTATCTATCTATCTATCTATCTATCTATCTATCTATCTATCTATCTATCTATCTATCTATCTATATCATTATATTTTCTTCTATTTGAGTCATGTGATCGAATGGGGGAGGTCAAGACAGAAAAAGAAAAAAAACCTTCGCGTCGTTGTCATAGTGTTGTTTATAGAACTCGGCTGCTCATTGGCCAAGTTTTAGTTTCCATGCTAGTATTGGCTGCTGTGGCGTGGTGTTTCCACCAATAAGGAAGCGCGCTTTTTACAAACTGCAGAGAGCCAGGAAGTTGACAGTCCACTGCAGAGCGAAGAAAGGCAACTCGAGCTCTTTAAATATCTACAGAAACAGCACCTGGAAAAACGCAACTTTGGGGCTTAGTTGAACCAAAAAAAGCAGTGTTCATATAGAGGAAAGCAGCAGTGAACATCGACATTTTAAAAGCGTATGTACGAGAAGGTTTATTGGGTTTTACTTGTGTTGTTAGCATGTGGTCATGCTCCCCTGCCGTAAATCAATTCTCCTCCTGGTATAAACATGTCGTTTTACGTGTTTGCTTTGGTTCGATTTGCAAAGTAAATTTTAAGTCAAATAAACTGCATAATTTACTCTGTCGGTCTATATTTACTTTATTTACTTTTTCATCTTTTGTGATCATGGCGAAAAGTGATGCTGTTCGTTTATTTATCACTCCATATCTACTCTATTGCTTCACACAATGTATAGAGTGTGAATTTATTTGTTTGAATACTTTTTATTTTTCATTGTGGTCTTTCCTGGCTCTTGCAGATCTCTGTTTAGTTGTCTTTCCATCAATATGGATTTTCCTTCGGTGCTGCGTCAACAAAACCAAACCAAAACGCACAGTGAATCCCTCAGGTAAGTCAGGTTCTGTGTTACACTTTGTACCTGCTAAGATATTTTGTCAGACACTAGTCTTATCTTACCTTTTACACATTGTCATTTCTTGTTAGCAATTGTACTATTCACTCACATCATGTTAGACATGCAATGATGCAATGTGAGATTTAATTTTATTTCAGAGACAGTTGTTCCTTGAATATTTAGTCATCAAAAATAATAGCATTGGGATAGACAAATGATGCCACTGACAGTTGGGTTAGGGTTAGAGTGTAAAGAAATGAGGTCACAGTTGTTTTTTACATATAATAATTTTCCCAATCATAGAATGAAGAATGAACATAAGAAGCTCCCAGTGGAACCAAAGACTTCTAAGTTTGTGTCGGCCTCTGACCTCTCCAGTGAAGACGGTGAAAACAAAGATCCAAAGACGAAGAAAGCACCTGGAAGACCAGGAGTGAGCAGGCTCCCTGTGCTCGCAAAGACTGTTTGTCTTCAGACTCCCAGCAATTTCAGTCAAACACATTGTAAATGGGAAGATAAGTCTTTGGCTGTAAGTGACTCCTGCCTGTTCTGAAGGTTTGAAAGCTGATTATAATTTAGTTCTTAACACAGAGTCTTATTTTAATGCAGGGCAAAGCTAAGAGGAATAAGCCATACAGTCGGCCTGTGCCTTTCAAACCGTCTCAGACCAGGAGTTCAACAATCAACAACCAGACAACAAGCAGCGCACACAACGTTCATCTAAAGACCCACAGTACAAATGTAAAACCTTCTCAAGAGTCGGACACGTGGAACAGACATGTGGGATCCACACATAAGGCTCGACGAAAGGCCAATGACACTAACCCCACCACGTTACGGCAACCTGGACTCCAGAGCACTTTACCATCGTCGTCCACTACTGCAGACTCCTGCCTGAAAAACATGAACCTGCTCAGCCTCAAGGATCCAGCAAAGATGAAGCAGGAGAGCAAGCAGGGAACCCAGGTTAAAGTTTCAAAGGAGTCAGCTGGTAAATGAGCTTTATTTTAAACCTCTAATAACAAATATTAAACAACAATTAACTCATTTTATCTTGTAAGTGATGAGTTGATTGTCACTGACGGCGTTTCTGTCTAATAGCAACAAGTTAAATCATATGTTGGGGATGTTACTGGCATAAACCTGCGTGTGGTGTGTTCTCATGTCACTTTTGTTTCATTAATATTTTTAAATGTAAAAAAATACTAATTCAATAGACTGTAATTTACAGAATGACACCAGACATCATAGAAAAAATATTTGTTTTTAAGTTTAATAAGATGTTTGCATTGTTTTTTATAGGTAGATAAACACATTTAACCTGTCGTGCTGATGTGGTTTATTTGTCGCTAATTTGACCTTCTAAGTCGTGCTGACGTGGTTTATTTGTCGCTAATTTGACCTTTTCCTTTTGCCCGTGCTCCTTTTTAGCTTTACCTAGTTTACACCTTTGATTTTGTCCTTTGAGAAATTTAATTTCTTTTGTATATCATTCAAAGGTGACAACTTCCAACCTGACCATGCAGCGTTTCTCAGTATCCTCCACAATGAAGGTATCAGCACCACAGATCTGGGATCTGCCACTCCACACAGCAAACCATATAATTATGAGGTGAGGAGGTTTCACTGGTGTTTTTACCAAGTTCTTATATGATGCCTATTAAACTAAAAAAAAACTTTGATGGGAAATTTTATAAATGTTTGACACCAATGATATTTTTAAGTCAGTTTAATTATAAAGTGTGTGAACTGATGATTCTTCTGTTTGCAGCCTCAGCGAGTGTCTGTGATGAGGAGTCGAAAAAAAGCTGCTCCCACTACAGGTACTGGAATAGAAGTAATCTGAGAAATGAATCAGATTAAGATTTGAATGCACACACCCACTGTACTGTTTATCCAATTATCCCACTGTCCATCTGTGTATTGTTGCTTTGATACATAGTAATACACATACACACACCAGGGCAGCACTAATGATTTTGACTAATGATGGTTTGATTTATTTTATTCCTTATATTAGATCTATATATCTATCTTATATTAAATATAACAAGTTTATTTCTTATGTTGTGCATCAAAGGGGAGAACTACCAGCCTGACCACGCAGCTTTCCTCAGCATCCTCCGTAACGAAGGCATCAGCAGCACAGACTGCGGATCTGCAACCCCACATTGTAAACCATATAACAACGTGGTGAGGAAGAGATCTCTCTGTTTTGTTTTGTTTTTTCAAAAATATCCTTAAAACTAGGGATGTCCGACATTAACTTTTTGCCGATATATAATATTCCGATATTGTTCAAACACTTTATTTCTGATTCCAATATCAACAGATACCAATAGAAGCAACCATTTGGGTTAAAGCAGTGGTTCTCAATTTATTTTCTGTCATGCGCCCCCTTGTGGACAGAATCTTTTTACGCCTCCGCAAATTGAAATACTATTGGGAACCTGATAACATGTATATTTTTATCTGTACAAACCACTGTATGAGTTGCTGCCACCTAGTGGCTGGAGGCTTGTTATCGGTCAACAGCAGAGGTATACTTATGTCCAGTGTGCTATATTCCATTGGAAGCCCCTCACGTCCCCTCGGGACACCTCACTGCGCCCCACTGTTTGAGAACTACTGGGTTAAAGGCAGAGGATAGTGTGAAGTGGTGTGCTGTTTCACAATGACAATAATTCGCTTTCATTTTCACATCAAAACTATTTTACCGATATTACATAACTGTGCTAATCTTCTTCTTCTTTCGGCTTTGTCCCTTTTTCAGGGGTTGCCACAGCAGATCATTGATTTCCATCTCTCCCTGTTCTCTGCATCTTCTACTCTGACTCCAACTATCTGCATGTCCTCCCTCACTGCATCCATATATCTCCTCTTTGGTCTTCCTCTTTGTCTCCTACCTGGTAGCTCCATCTCTAACATTCTTCTACCGATGTATCCACTGTCCCTCCTCTGCACATGTCCAAACCATCTCAATCTGGCTTCTCTAGCTTTTTCTCCAAACCTTCCTGTCTGTGTTGTCCCTCTAATGACCTCATTCCTGATCCTGTCCATTCTTGTCACTCCTAAAGAGAATCTTAGCATCTTTAACTCTGCCACCTCCAGCTCCTCCTATACTCTGTACCACCTGAGAAATCATTGAGCTCTCTGATTCTATCATATAACCCTGACCTGTATGACCCTGTTGTTTTCTTGTGTGCAGCCCTTGCGAGTGTCAGTGATGAAGAGTCGACAAAAAGCTGCACCCCACACAGGTTAGAACGAGGGTCACCAACTATATTTGTCAGTGGCCCTCTCACTCTCCAGAAAATAAAATAAAAATCCAATTTTTGTCCATTGGAATGTAAAGAGTGTTTTTTTTTCAGGTGCTTTAATAGTTCTTCAACACAGCATTTCTGTCTGGCACACAAACTGACAATGAAATCAAAATAAATCCATCAACCAGAGGGGGAAACGTTAGGTATGAACTTCTGTTTTCTCTGTGCTACAGGATCATCCAAGTCGGTGCAGTTTTCCCCCGATGCTAATGCCCTGCAAAGTATTCTGCGGAACGAGGGGGTGACCACTGCAGGACTCGGAGGTGCCACACCACGGACATCTGTTTGTCCCCCAGGCAGAGGCACTTCAATCTACATGGTAGCGACGCATTAAATATTTGTTTGTGTCTGGTGGCCAGTACCCAAAAACAAACTCTGCTCTGAATTGTAAATGTGTTGCTACCTCTCTTAGGCTCAGAGAGTGCCGATCAGGAAAAAACAGGCAGAGGTGACAGGCAGAGCTGTGGGTAAGATGCAGCAGAGGTGATGTAGTTGTCACATAGAATATAGAGTGCTTCTCCAACTTTTTATACTCTGTACCACCTGAGAAATCATTGAGCTCTCTGAGTACCACCATGATGACCAACAGTAGAATTAGCTTCCACCACAGGAGAGATGTTTATGTTTAAATGTTGGATTAATTGTGCATGGTATGTTTCAGATTTATTCAACTGAAAATGTGAATGTGAAAATATGAATGTTACCTGCGTACCACTGGAGAGCGCTCAGTGGTACGTGTACCACAGTTTGATATAGAAGCAAATGCACTTCCAGACAAAAACTAAAATGTAGGATTTTCCTAAAGCCGTTTCTCGCAGACCCCCGCAGGAAATGGTTCTTTCCTGAGCAGCACTGGTTCTTGTCTCATCGGAGCTGAATACAGTGCTGATAAAACCTTCCAGTGTCACACTGCCTCGTCCTTAATCTCTTTGCAATTTCACCTTGTCTTGACTCGGCAGTAACTCTGAAAGAGACTCCAGGGAACAAATGGACTCCACAGAGAGTCCGTGAAACCAGACACCAGCCCATATCTGCCATGGTGTGTACTACATGGTCTGCATATGTGTACTACATTTTGGGTCTCAGGCATGTCTTAGAGTCACATTCTGATGTTATGGTGCTGTGTATCTGCAGAAGTGGCATCAATCTGCACAGAAGTCTCTGGTCAGTTCAGGAGTGAAGAGCAGCAAAGTGGACGCTGCTCAGCTGCAGCAGGAGGTGAGAGCAGGAAAAACTGTGGCCATGACCAAGTTATCATAGAGAAAATGAATATATTGTTTTGTTTATGTCTTTTTGTGTGTTTGCAGAAGGTTGTCCAGAGGTTGTTTGATGACCAGGAGGAGGATCTGGACACAAATGTGACAGAAGAAGTGTCTGACTCACAAAAGGAGCAGCTCACAAGTCGAGCCTCAGGAGTAAGAAACACAAAGTTTGGCCTGATCACTGTGGTTTATCTGGTCAGAGATCAGAAACACTCTCTCAAAATGCTACGTTTTAAAACAGCATTTCTGCTTTTATTTATTTAAGATGAAACTACTTGGTGAAGAAAAGGTAGAAAAATCTAGTGAAGATGAGAAAGAGGAGGAGGAAGAGGTGGAGGAGCAGCAGATGGCGCCTTTCCACCAAGAACCACAGAGGCAGTCGGTCATATTTTTCTCAACCAGCAAAAAGATTTTCAGAGCCTCACGTTTTGAGGATCAACAGAGCTCGTGTGATCAGGATCAGCTCGGTCCACCGTCAGGTGTGGAGGAAACAAACTGCCTCACCAACCTCTCAGTGCTGAGTGTGCGCAGAGGTAACGGCTGACGTCTGTCAGTGCTGGGCATCACACTGACACAACATTAAACATCCTAAACTAGATGATCTCCACACTGACATTAAACATCCTAAACTAGATGATCTGCAGCTGCTGAGCAGCAACAAAGTCAACATATTGTTTTTCTTTGACGACTGTTGACGACATCTCCACGGACACTCAGCTGACCGTGCTGCTGTGACTCCTGCTAAATTCCAAACTTTCTCATCACAGAACTGATGATCCGGAAGAGTCCGAGTCTGAACCCTGCGGTGGCGTTGCTGCGTAAGCGTCTCCCTCCTCTGGAGGAACTACGTATGGATGAAGAGGTGGCCACCTACACCTCCATGAGTGTCCCTGTCACCCCCGGGTTTGTGCCCCCCCGACCTCGCTGTGGAAACCCCCTTGCCTCTATGCTACACTTTGAGGAGTCCTCTGTGAGCATCCCACTGGTTTATATAACCCTGCCACACAGACACATATGTATATATATATGTATGTATGTGTAGGTATATATGCGTATATATGTATATAGCATATGTTTAAAGTGACAGAGATGATGAGGTTAGAGCGAGTGAAGCAGTGTTGACATAAAACAGACTGAGTCAGTGGTCAACGGAAGATAAAGGGATTGAAACCACATTTTGTTTTTGTCTTCCAGAGATTTGTTCCTATCGATGTCTCCTTCGATCCTACGTCTCCTCACGGCTTCTCACAGAAACAGAGATGATGATGCACTACAAGCCCAGTTTCTTTCAGTGAGAAGATCCAGAGTGGATCAGTTAATAATAAAGTACTGAAGACCTTTGTCCAACACTGTTGCTGCCAGCCTTAAATGAGGTCCAAGGACCTGATGCTATTTTTTTTTTTCACCTTGAGGACCTGTTTTTTATAGATGTTTTTTGATTATGCTTTAAAAAAAATTTAATCTGTCTGTTTTTTCACCACTATATAAATGTGTACCGCACAAGTGACAAAATATACAGATATTAATGGTCAAGAACAGACATTATCAGTGTTAAACACAGACAACATATCAAATGTGGTCTGATATTTTTCTGTAATAAAAAAAAACATTTTCCTGAATATTGTTGTAGTTGTATAGTGTTTATAATAAATGTGTATATGTGTTTGAAAGGCCATGTATGTTTTTGTCTATTGCTGCCAATTCAAGTTGTCTGTCTTCGCTGTTTTACAGTGGTTAGACTTGAAGTCTGAAGTTGACAGTTCTCCCTGCTACATGTGTTATGGCAGAATTTCCAGCGTGTTTATGACCATTGTTGCCCCACAGATGGCGCTGCAAGGTGTTTCAGTATATGACAAACTTCTTGGCAAATATTGGTTCATCACTTTGAGGCCACATCTCAAACACAACCTGATTGGAATTCAGCCATAAACCATAACAGAGCCTGCCCTAACACATATATATCCATTATATTCCCAAAATAATGTCAGAAACTCTGACGATTTTAACATGTTCTGTTTATATATCTTGGTAAAGCCAATGGGATGAATGAGATCAGTTGAACATAATTAAGTAAAGGACAGAGGTGAATGACTGCTTCAAGGTCAGAGCTGTGAATTACTAACACAAAGGAAAACATTAGCAAATCCACTTTTGAACTCTAAAAATAAAAAAATAAAATCTTATTTTTTGTCTCAAATATTAAAAAAACAGAATGACTAATTATATTTTGAAATTCTGTATTTGTATCAATTTGTATTGATAATAAAATCATTCAAAAGAAGTCTACTGTACAACCAGTATGATCATCGTGCTCAGTCATGAGACGTGAGTATTCTTTTAGTCCTTTAAAGACACCATGGAGGATATGCCAAAGAGTGAGCACTAAATAAAAAAAAACACTTATTTTATCTACTGTATGATTTCAGAAAACAGGTTTGTTCTGTTTTTAGGCAGAAAATGACATTTGTTTTCTCCAATCATTTACATATATTTTCATTTCATGCCTGAAAATGTCTACAGGGAGACAGATGACAAAGGACAGCTCACAGCCATGTCTCACAGCCATCACTGCTGTCTTCTGCAGGTGGTTACAGGGCCTAATGTATATTTAGAGAAGTTCGAGTGGTGCGGGGTATCAGTGGGAGGGGGCTCGGGGCAGGATCAGGAACAGGATCAGTTGTCTATAAAGCCTGTGGCAACACACTCTCCTCCTTTGGAGAGTACAGAGTAGAGGAAGAGCAGCCGCACTCTTCTTTCTCCTTTTCTTTTCCCTCGTGCTCCGTCCATCTGCGCTCCGTCATCATGTCCAAGGCTCCACCGACCACGGACCCCACAAAGATGGGGATTGGACGGGCCATTGCTGTGCTGACGTCAGGGGGAGATGCCCAAGGTAGGAATAAATCACTGCTGCAGTTTGGAGCTGATGAGCTCTGAGCCAGCGACAGACGCCCTGGTGAATTGACCACAGACGCTCACCCAGTGTTTACTCAGTGCATTTGGCCGCAGAACCGGGCGGAGATATGAACTCATATAACATGAACAAATCAGAGAGTCAGAGCTGAAGTCCAGCTGTCAGAGGATTATCAGAATTTAGGAGCGTCACGAGGATTCCTAACACCTCACGAACCACCTGATGTACTTACTACTTACTGTCACGAGGATTCCTAACACCTCATGAACCACCTGATGTACTTACTACTTACTACAAAATAATGAAGACTACAATAATAGATTATGTATTTGGGATTTGGTGTCTGTACTTTACAGCTTGACTTCAAGGTCAACAAAAGTTAAAAGTCTTGATGTTCAGCTAATGCGCTTGCGTAATCTCGCCCCCTATTTCTTGGAGTTAGCACCTGCAGCCATTTATTTGCCCCTTGTCCCACAGTGCGCTTCCTTATTTTTTGCATCTTTGGGGCTAATTTTAGTGGCTGTGACCTTTTTCTGGTATGGACAAGAGAAACGCCCCCCCGATCCTCAGCTGCTGTCTGCTGAAACAAGAGCTGCAGAGGCTGCCAGGCCACCACAACACAAACACACGGTGGCCTTTAGTGTATGGGACGATCAAGGACAAGACGGCACACAAGACACGCAGTGTTGATAACCTCAGCTCCAGCGTTGCTTGGTGGTATTTCTGTCTCATTTGGTGCCAGTGTGCAAGTCTCATCATTTAAAGGTTAAAGGTCTTCTGTGACGGGAGGTGAAAGGTCAAATCTGATCTTGCATTAACACAGTATATATGTAGTCTGTTCGACAAAGTCGACCAAGTACTAAACCAACAAACGATGAGACGGAGTTAAGTGGAAGCACCAGTGGTCAACAGGTTTTAAAATGTTGTAGGGGCCGTTAGTCTGATCGTTTATATTGACTGTCAATAATATTCAAGTGTTTTTTTCTCTCTGTCTTATTCAGCAAACTATCTAGAACACACATTTATTAACTTGAGTTTTTCAATAGTAAGTATGAAAGAAAATTATGGGATTCCACCAGGAGTAACACTTTTCCTTTTGTAATTTTACCAAAGATTTGGTACACAGTGGACAAGTTGCACAGTTTAGAATTTTAAATCGATATATATATAATATATAACATGTCAAAGCTCCCAGCCACTTTTGGAAAACATAATTATATTTAAATACTATAACAAAACTCTAGTCTTATAGTAGCCTGTACTATAAGACTTTAAGTTATTCAAGTTTGTAAGCAATTACAATTGCTAGTTGTCTAGAACTATATTGTATTGATTTAATTATTTTTATTTTTATTTTCTTGTCTTGTTTTTTTAAGTTCTTCTAAGGTTTTCGTCTAAAGTTTTCCTGTACAATTTTAACGTCAGTTAGCTCTTTAAGGAGAAGTGTCCACATTAGCTCCACGTCGGCTAATAAGGATCGATGTAAACAACTGTACTGACTTTCATCTGTCTTTTTAATTTTTTACCATAACGTTGGTACGTCCCAGGTATGAACGCTGCAGTGAGAGCCACGGTCAGAGTGGGGATTTACACTGGAGCCAAAGTCTACTTTGTTCATGAGGTGTGGAACACACGTGGAACAAAAGCATTTTGACACTTGTCATTGTTGTTGTTGTTGTTGTTGTTGTTGTGTGTTGTCATGTTGTCAGTTTGTATTCAACCACTGTGAATGTCTCCTGTGCCACAGGGCTACCAGGGCCTGGTGGACGGAGGTGAAAACATCCGCCTGGCCACATGGGAGAGTGTGTCCATGATGCTGCAGCTGGTCAGTGATGTACAGTACAGCCCATTACACTAATACTGACTCAACTGACTCACAGGCGTCACACACTTAAATTAAACATGTTGTTTTGATGACGCGTGACTAACAGAATGAACACAATTCAGACTTTCCTTTACATCACGTCTCATGACAATGACAACAAAGAGCCGACTTGCACTGGCAACCAACGGCCACAAGACACTGATGACATTAAACTGACCTGACCCTGTGACCAAAGGATGATGGGTATTTATCAAAACTTTGAAGCTGGTGAATCAAGTTCCATTGCCTCATATTTAGCACTGACAGAAGACATGACAAGCCCAAAGTTATGAAGTGTGTGAAAGTGAACCACAGAGTTGGCGGTGGTCCTGTGATACCGCCTTCACACTGTTGGAGGACGAATCGTGTCTTTGTACGAACGTGTGTCTCTGAAGTTTGTAGGTGACTGACAGTAGTAAAACACCAAACCTAGTAAAGAACTTTTACTCTTTTAGGTCAATTATTTTCGGTCATGACCCCACTTGCCCCCCACTACGACCAATCCAAATTGAAATATTATTGAGAACCTGAAACATGTATATTTTTATCTGTACAAATCACTGTATGAGTTGCTGCCACCTAGTGACTGGAGGCTTATTGTTGTTGCTGTTGTTTGAGTCAACACCTCTCTCCTCAGGGAGGAACTGTAATCGGCAGCGCCCGCTGTAAGGACTTCAGGAACAGGGAAGGGCGTTTGAAGGCGGCCCTCAACCTGGTGAAGCTGGGCATCACCAATCTGTGTGTGATTGGAGGTGACGGCAGTCTGACAGGAGCCAACCAGTTCAGGACGGAGTGGAGCGGACTGCTGGCTGACCTGGTCAAAGCTGGTAAACCCACTGGAGTTTGTTCATAATGTTGATGTTTACAGTGGCAGGGTTAGATCGTTTTTGAGTTGAGCGATACTTACAGTAACAATGAGATACTAGGTAAACATTTTCCTAAATTTCCTTTAACAGGAGAAAAAAAAACCTAAAATACACATGAAAATGAATGAATGTGATCGCAGTGTTTGTGTTTGTTTTGTCCTGTAGGTAAAATCACTGAAAATGATGCCAAGAAATCTTCCCACCTGAACATCGTCGGGATGGTGGGTTCCATCGACAATGACTTCTGTGGCACTGACATGACCATCGGTACCGACTCGGCTCTGCACCGAATCATGGAGGTGGTGGACGCCATCACTACAACGGCACAGAGGTGTGACATCACCTTCTACTGTACGTGAATGATGCAGATAATGACAAGAGGACAGACAGAGAGACTGACTCTCCGTCTGTGTAATGACGACTTTTTCTTGACTCCATGTTATTGTTGTCTGATAACTTTTGGTGTATATTTTGTCACTTTTGTACATTTGAGTGACTATGATTTCTGAGCTTAATTTCCCTTCAGGTTAGTTTTTTTGTTTGTTTGTATTTAAAAACAGTATCTAGAAGAATATTCTTTATCAACATTTTATTAATGTTTGTGTCTTATTTCACAATCCACAGCCATCAGAGGACATTCATCCTGGAGGTGATGGGCAGACACTGTGGGTCAGTACTATTGTGTGTCATTTGTTGAGTGTAGGTAGTGATAATTGTGTAATTTAGCAAATTATAGGACTTTAATCTTTTTATAAATTTCTGCACGAGTATCGTTCTCATCAGTTTTATGGAATTTGTGAGTGGTTCCTTACTTGTTTTTTTTTTTGAGATTTTTTTAAGATTTGATACATTCATCCAACGATTGTGTCTGAGTCTGGGTTACATATGGAGACAGCTGCTTCTGTGGTTTGTCTTTGCTGCAGGTACCTGGCCCTGGTCACAGCGTTGGCCTGTGGCGCTGACTGGGTGTTTATTCCAGAAATGCCACCAGATGAAGCCTGGGAGGACCATCTGTGCAGGAGGCTGGCAAACGTATGGTTATCTGCAGATAAACATGTCAACAACTCACCCTCTGCACACCTGTATTTATAGTTAGTTGTTGTTGTTGTTGTTGTTGTTGTTTTAGCAAAGGGCGAGAGGTTCTCGTCTGAACGTGATCATTGTCGCTGAGGGCGCGATGTCCAGAGAGGGGAAGGCGATTACATCTGATCAAATTAAAAAGGCAAGTGTGTCCTGGTGATGTCAGTGAGAGGTGACACTGCAGTCAGGATGGCACTAAAGCTGACAGATTGATTTATTCTACTTCAGCTGGTGACTGACAGACTGGGCTTCGACACTCGTACCACCATTCTTGGACACGTGCAGAGAGGTGGCACGCCCTCCGCCTTTGACAGAGTCCTGGTGAGTGTACGAGTGACATGTCACGGTCATTAAATAGAAACTGTACACACACCCATGTGGACCTCTGATGCTATGACTAATAGTGTGTGTGGTGCAGGGCAGCAGGATGGGTGTGGAGGCGGTGATGGCGCTGCTGGAGGCCACTCCAGACACTCCAGCCTGTGTGGTCAGCCTGTCAGGGAACCAGGCTATCAGACTGCCACTCATGGAGTGTGTTCAAGTGGTACGTCAAAATGTCACCTTCAATCTTTTATAGTGCGCTGCCATTACTCTGATGGATGGCTCTGTCCAGCAGAGGTGTATCCTGCAGACGAGAATGGAACCTGTAAGGTTGTGTGTCATTATGGCAGG